TGGACGAAATATAAACTGCTGATTGTTTTAGCTGGTAGCTTGGATGTCCTCTTTGTTTCAGTTTCCTGCAGACCAGCGCTTGTTGCAGGTCTGGCCGTTAACCGGTAGAAGGTCCATTCTGCTGCTGTGCTACAGAAGGAGTAGTGGGCAAGAAGAGATGGAGCTTTATTTCCTTCACTTCGGAGCAGATTTGGTTTTGCAGTGCTGTCTGTGTGCGCCTTGAAGAGACAAACCTGTTTGTAGCTGCACCTGTCCTTGGTGCTTTTAAAGGATTTTGTATCACCACTCGTTTTCTCTTCTGTTTGAGGAGAAAGCCAACTCCTTTGGCACGTCTGATAACTGTCTTTTTTTATTTTTGAAGGCTTTTGCTAGACGAAAATATTCCCTTAGTCTGTTATGTCTAGTGGCTCCTTTGTATTTGCTGTGCACAGGTTCTGTGTGCAAACAGCTGCTGATTTGGATTCCTGCATCTTTCTTTCATCTGCTAAATGCTCCCCTCCTGAAGCCTGCAGTCAGGTCTGATTTTAACGGGTTTGCTCTGTGCATCAAGCTGTTCGCAGCCTTTACTATGCAAGTGCTGATGTGGTAAGCCTTGCTGGTAGCACGGCAACTTGGGATCAGAGCTGCTTTGCACTTCCCCCTCGTCTTCCTTGCTTCTGCCTCTCTCCCCTTTCTCTCCCACCACCGAGCCTGGAGTGCGGACGGGGAGGTGTGTGCATACAGGTGAGATTTAACACGCATGGAGCAGGAGCTGAAGTGGGGATAGCACTTCGTGCTTCACAGCAGAGTTGGGGTGAGAGACAGAAAAGGGGAAGTGTGGTTCTTATTTCTACTGATAGGTGGCCAGACAGAAATCTCCAGTCACCACCTGCAGATCCTTTCTATACTTCCACTCACCTGTCTTGTATTTTGCCGAGTGTAATCACTCGCTGTTCAAACTTGCATTTCTCTCTTACAGTGTTTACAAAATCAGGGTAAACTTGAGGCACCTTACTTGCATTTTCAGCCTCCGAAATCTGCTGTCTGCTTTTCTGCTGTAGTATCTCATGGACAAGGCAGCTCCCGCGTTCTGCGATCAGCAGTGAGTAGTATCAGGCAGGTGAGGCGGTGGAACTTGGTGTTACACACACCTTTTGTGATATCTATTTTGTTGCTCAGCTCAGAGAAATAAAGAACCCCTCCTATTCAGAATGCCGCTCTGCTCATTGCTGACTTTCTGTGCCCAAATGGAGGAGGCTGTGTTCGTGCCATGGAACCCATAGCAGATGCAGAAGAATACACATGACCTTGCTACTGAACAGTCCGTGGTAGAAAGTCGTTCGTGTATTATTAAATACAAAAAAAAGCAGTGATTATTTTTTCAAACGTGATCTTTTGTGCCTGCCTGTAAAGACATGACATGAACAAGACCTTTGTGAACGATCTTAGGAAGATGAGACTTAGAGTAGAAAAATGAGCTCCCTTGAAAATTGGCCTGCAGGCAACAGTTTTATAGGGGGCTGAGCTGTAAATGGACTTCACTGTGATGCGTGTAACTTCTCAGCCAAACTCGTCACTGGTTGGCTAAGCACAATCTGTCTCAGCAAGATGGCTTTGTAGTGTTAGTTAATAACTGGGGCAAATAATTGTTGTATCCCTGCTGTAAAACAGAGAACTTAAGGTAGGTGTGTGTCTTTATGTATTCTTGGTATGGTGTGGATCAGATGCAAGACAGAGACAGGCCTGAAAAACTTGCACAAAAGAGTCAAACAAATGATTGGGCAGGAAAACAAAGGCAGAGAGGGGAATTATGTGGCTTGTGTCCTACGTGTCAGTGACAGCCAGATACTAAAACAAAATTCAGTGCTTCTCTTGTTACTTTGTACTGCTTTGTGTTTCATGGTGGTAGCGTAGAGTTTTGAAGAATCGAGAATTTCCAGAATGGCAGTTTGCAAACTCCCAAGTACAAACCTGGGCCATCTAGATAAATGAATGCATCTATTAATTTTGCACTGCTTGGTTCGTATGGACAGAAAGTAGTGGCACTGCGACTGCTTTTCATGCTGTTGGCCAAAGCGTTCCTCACCCCACCACCACTAGGGACTTCGAGTTAGTGGGAGAGGATGTTTTTATAGAAACCCCTAATTTCCTAGGGGTTCCCTTCTCTGCCCTGTTGGTGTTCGTGTTGCTTTTACCAGGGTGCTGCCATTTGAATGAGCTCTCTGGCTAAAAGCTGAGGTGCTGGGGCTGAGTAGCGCTGCTGAGTAGTATCAGTAGCAGAGGCAGATCAAGCCTGGTGCAATGCTCAACTTAATTTGACAATGTGCAAAACACCGCGGAGTCCAATGCACATACCTGATTTTCTGTTTGAATTAGAATAAGACCGTAAACAGAAATTGTAAGTAGCTCCCAATATTTATGTGTATCATCTTGATATTTGTCATTGATACATCTGACACTGGTTTGGCCAGGCGAAAATTACGAGAACATTCAGTTCACTTAAATCAAAGGCATCAGACCAGATGTCTGTATTTGTGTGCCAGTATTTGTATGGCATAAATAGACTGCGTGACTAGTTTGTATGGCATAAATGGAGTGAGCTGTCTTCATGCCCTGCAACGATTAAGATGATGTCCGCCTTGGACCACCTGTAGGAGTAGCAGACAAGGAGAAATGAAGAGGGGGGGGAAAGGGAGGCGTTGAACACAAAGTTGAGGTTGAGAGGAGAGAAATAGAGGAAGTAAATTAGCGGAGGTTGGTGTGATGTCAGCGTATTTATCGATACTTTTGATAAATAAAATAATAATTCTTTTGGCGACTGTATTTGACATGGTTTCCAGCAGTTTATACATGCAAAGGTATAGTCTGATCTACAGACTTTAATCTAGGAATGTAAGATCCTGTTATAAAATTAATTTCACTTGAATATTCGAGTGTCATTGTCCCCGCCAGTTGATTATTTTTGGAGTTTAGAAATCAACCTGAGTGCAGTGGATTAGCCACCTAGTGAAGGTAATGACTGTAGTGATTAAAAATAAATAGTGCAGCTCATTTCTTGGGATGAGGACTATGCATCTGACTTAATTCATGTATGGGTGCTGCAGAATGAGTTCATAGCGTCAAAAGCATGTCTTGTATCAGCCCTGTGAAAGCAGGACCTCTTCTACAGCAGTAAGACAAGTCGGTGTGAGAAAGGTGTGTGTGCAGAGGTGTCTTGGTGTAAGTACTAACACAGGAAAACCTCTGGTTTCAGTTGAATTTGATTCTGTGAAAGGCTGTAACCTGCTTCTTGGTAATTTACCTAATCCGAACTTGCTTTGTATGTTTTTACCTTCCCTCACCTTTTCCTGAAAAAATAAAACTGGGTCTCGAGGAGGAGAGGAGAGAAACCAACCAACCAAAACAAACCCAGCAACACCCAGAAAACAAAATAAACCCACAAACCCGAACCCTTGTGCCTCGGTCCCCTAAGGTCTGGGCAAACAGAAGTTCAAACAGTTGTGTAAACCCGGGTTGCTAAGTGCTTGTCCTTCCTGCTGCAACAGCTTTATGCAACTGACCTTTCTTCAAGCCTTCCTCCTCCTCCCCCCGCAGTGTTCCCCTCTACCTTGGGCATATCTGAGAGCACTACTTTGTCTCTCAAAATTGCTCTTCCAGCTGCTTTGGCTCTCTCTGTATGTTTTTTTCCTTGCCACTCTCTGATTCCTCTTGTGCCCTGCTCTTTTCCCCATCGCTTCTTTGCTTGCTGTCAAGGATTTGCATGTGCTGCCAGCGAACTGCAGAATTTGGACCTTCATCCAGGCATAGGATTTATTTATGACCACTTAAACGATATCACTGTTTCTTTACTGAGAAGATGGAGAACTAATTTGCTGGTAAACGGATGCAATTAATTCAATTTAGGTGTGAAAATATTACTCTTCTATAGACCTTTGGTTGTTAATTCTTTTAGCATTTGAAATATGATGAGGAAGACATTCAGAAAGTGCTAGCTGCTTAGGTATTCTGACTGTCGAATATTGAGGTTAATGGTGCTGTGTCTGATAATCAATATACTGTAGCTGTATGGAAGGGAAGATGTGAGTAATCTTTTTCTCCACAGATTTTACTTTTTTTTTTAAAAAAAATCATCATTAGACTTAAAGAACAGTCGACCTATCTATATTTGTCAGCTTTCAAAAGGCTTTTCAGATAAAAGCCCAAAGAGTAAGTTGTAGCATACTGCAGTGTCGCATTTTCAGGGGTGAAGCTGGTGACCTGGGATAGCCCTTGCAAATAAGGAATTGCATTTGCGTTCTTGCAAATAAGTTGTTGCGTTTGCAGGCTAGGTTTGTTATCAGTCTGCGGTGTCGCGTAGCTTAGAGGGCATACGGAAACTAAAAAACGTGGTAGTTCAAGTCCTAATACTTCAAGCAGCTTCGCAGAGCAGGGCTGGACCCTTTTTCCAGTTCGTTGTGGTTTCTGTTCCTGTGAAGTTGTCTTTTGACAGGCTGGTTAGTAATTGTGCAGTAGGTGAACTGTACCTGGTTTTTATTTGGTAGTCAGATAACAGCAACGCACCTGAACTTTTTAACATACTTTTTTTTTTTTTTAAATGCTTTTTGTTGCGCTAGATGTTGCGTTACCTCTGGACTAATTGCACCTATGATTTTAGTCTGTGTATGTTCAAAAAGCTGATTTTAGAATTAGCTAAAAGTCACTTGCCTGATTTTATATACATATATATATAGTGTAAATGTCAGATTAAAATAGCATGAGCCTCGTATGTTTAGTTAAATGTCATGGTTGGGAATTTAGAGACAATACCTAAAAATTGGATTAAATGAATTTTGAGTAAATGACTTTTGTATAGGAAAGGCTTCCTGGGGGCTGGGGAAAGGCAGGGGAAATGATTTAGTGCAGCTAGTAAATATATTGTCATCAGAGCCTTGCCTAGACTTGTGTATTTCAGCCCAACAACAGACATCATTTTAGTGTTAAACTACTGTGATTATAAGGAGTATTTCTGATGTCTCTGATAGTTGGTGTGGATGACTACAGCTCAGAGTCTGATGTGATTATTATACCTTCAGCCCTGGACTTTGTCTCACAAGATGAAATGTTGACGCCTTTGGGAAGACTGGACAAGTACGCTGCAAGTGAGAACATATTCAACAGGTATGCTTTTTAAATGTCTGCCTAACAGTGTGCAAGCTATTAATCTGATTCAAATCTGACAAGTTAATTTGCATGAAATACAAATAATTATTAAAATATATATATATTTAAGAATTCTTCAGTTTCCACTCCTCCTTTTCTTTGCTGATGCTTCCTCTACTTATAGATAGCAAAATGTTCTTCATAGCAGAAACTTACCCTTTAATATTGTAGTTAACTTACCCGTTAACATTAACTTATCCCATTAATATTGTAGTCTGCATTTACCCACTTTTATGACGGTAATGCCACTGAGCTAATCGCTTCACTTAAAAGCACAGGTATTGTAGAATACTTCACAGGCCTGCGCCCACACACGGTTCCATTGGAGGAAGAAATTCAAACCCAACATTTAATTGTAACTGTAAACAGATCACAGAAATGTATAAAACTACTTTTTCTAGTGTTTTATTTTAACATAGTTTTGTTTGGTCTCCAAATACATCTTTAATAAAACCTGCTTGCTTTTACGTTGAATTCTCTGATTTAGTAGCATATGGAAGATAAATCTGTGATCAACCACCCTGTGGACTAGCCTCTCAATTTTTGTTGGTCATGGTCCCTTCTGTATGATTTAGCCACATGCTTCAGTCATGTGAAATATGTTTAAAATTCCATACTACATACATGAACATCTCCCAGTTTGGAAGGTTGGTTTATTTTCCTTCTTATTTAACTGAAGCTAAGAAATGTATTATGGTTTCTCTTACAGCCTGCACGAATCTGTCTGTATAAATTAGTTCTGAAATGACCAATTTTAAAGTTTTTGTTTGTTTTCCTGAAATTCAAAGTTTGTAGCATTTTAGAGTTTGAGGTCAAGTCAGTAACTTGCCACCCAGCAGGGTGGGTGTTTTTTGTTCAAATTTTGTGGGGAGGGAGGGATGAGGAGACAGCTTTTAGATTTATAGGTATTTCATTGTGACAGTCACCTAATAAAAGCCTGTAGAGTGAAGAATGAACTTGGAAATTCAAGTTATGTGAAACTTGAGTTTTCATCAAGAATAGGAGTCCTAATGTTTTACTGGGATGTGAGGCATGCAAAAACTTGAAGTCTTTTGATGCTGCTGCCCACCTTTATGCATCCTGTGCTTACCTCTGTCTTTCTGCAGGGGAAAGTGGGTGGAGTAACTATAATTTTCTCTGGTTTTTGTTTTGTTATAAGTGTCTTGCTTAATCCTAGCTGTCTTTGTTAGGCCTAGGTGTGTTATGTAGCATAAGAAAATATAGGAAATAGCATATGGTAGTCATTAGTGATAAGACTAAGTAGCAGTTCAACTTGAATGAGTTAAGTATTACAGACAGGTTATGATGACTTAGCATCAGGCAGGAAATATGGGAGAGATTTTTGCTCACAGAGGTGAATTGGAGCATTTCATAGGCAGAAGATTGGAATAAACAGCTTAAGTATAAATTAGTTTCTGTCTTATTGAAATGGTGTAATCATATCCAATTACTTTATGTATAGGTTCAGATTCACTTATATTATGATTAAGTTAATAAAACTAAGTTCCTGTGACCTTGAACCTACATTTGTGTTCAGGCTTCAAATAGTAGATTCCCAAACCCTTGAAACTCAATCATTGAGCCTAAGTAAATTTGAATAAGGTTTTTTCTTTAATTAAATGGATGAGTTTATATATAGAAAAATATATCTTTACATGTCATTTTAAAGTATTTTTTTCTTTTTGCATTGTTTTTATTTCCATTTTCTATCTGGTTCGTCATCTGCTTATGTATCACATTTATGGTGATGATTATATTGAATAAATTTAAATTATTTTTACTGATTACTACAGAAGCCTAGTCTTTGTGTGGATTCCTGGAGCACTTGCAATTTCTTAGTTGGTTTCTGAAGGTCAAAGGTAGTTCCTCTGAAATGGAAATTGATCTGTCTGGATCCTAAGAAGCATTAGCAGATAAGACTTGAATTTGTAAAGAGGAATTGCCTCTTTATTTAAATATATATAACTCCTGATGGGATGAACTGGAAAAGGAGTATAAGCTAGGTTAGGGAATCCTTTACCAGCTTTCTGAATGGCAGGAGTGGTTGCTGTAATAATTTTTAGCATATTGTGGTCTGCATCCTCACTCTTTGTACGGGTTTTCCGAAGCTTTATCATCATTAACTTGTTTCTGCTCATCATTAAGAAGGCTCAAAGTGCACAATAGTCATTAGTAGGTCTATCTGAATGGCAAGATAGTACCTGAACAACAGACCAGTTCCTTGTGATCAGCCTGCTTCCTGAGGAATTGCTGTTGCCCGTTCTCTTTGTGGCGTATGGGCTGCTGCAGTGGAAGTTAACATCCCAGCCAGACCTGGTACATTCTTCAAACCAAAGCAGATCTTGGTGGCGGACTTCCATTCATCAGTACGATCAGCCCAGGCTATCAGTGAGGATATTTAAAGTTACCTTCTTGCCACGCTGCTTTGTTTTCTGAAGTACTTCTTCACTTTTCCCTTAGAAAATAGTACTTAAGAAGTTGCAGAAGAGTCCTGTTGTGTACCAGTGTAGGAGCTCTAGCAGAGGCTACCTACTGGCCAGGCTTCCTCAGCTGTGAGAAAACCTCATCCATCCGTCCATCAGAAGAATCCACCTTGTGACTGAGTATCTGGAAATGCTCTGTCTCTTCTCTGTAGGCATCCTCTTCTTTGGATGAGGCTCATTTAGGTCCCAGAACTGGTGATAGTGACTTCAGGATGTTTTAGGATGATCTCAGGTTGTCTGCGTTTTTTTACCAATTCTATTAATACCTGATATTTTTTGAAATACTAGGTCATTTTTTTTTCCCCTTTTATTAGTAGTTTAATTTCAAAAAATAGTTTAATTTCAAAGTAGTGGTAGAGCAGCACTCAGTGGTAACTGAAGATATATTAGATCTCAAAGAGGGATTATGCATAGGTGTGCTTGCTCATGTACAGTTTATCAGTAGCACTTCTGCTGTCTACAGTATAGGTGAATATCTGCCCTAAAGCAGTCTGGGTGATCTGTCTTTTTTTGCCTTCATGGCACAGGCATATTATTTTTGATACAGCCTGTGGAAAGTAGTACTTCCTGCTTTCTGGACTCCAGATGGACTTTAATGTGGCTTTTTGATTCCTAACTCCAACAGCACAGTATCCAGTTTGCTTTGACATTTCTGTGATTCTTTAGCCAATCTCGAAATTTGTAGAATATATGCTCTACTGTGGAGTGAGACTTTTCAGGAACTGAGAAGTCCATTTCTTCCCAAAGAATTAAGGGTAAGGATGAATTTTTAGAAATCAGTGTCTCAGGTCCTTATGTTGATTGTTGAGCAACACTATCAAGACCTTCCATTAGTTTCAGAAATTACCTTGCCTTATTTTCGTTCAGATCAGATTATAGCCAACAAGCTGATTCAGAGTTTGGTTATCCAAAGCTACCCCATCTCTTTTTTCCTCACCACATTCCCTTTCCCTCTGTCTGTGCAGCCTAGCCCGGTGTAACCTTTCTGTTTTCTGTTTATTTGGTGAGTACTGACAATAAGGAAATGAAAGCTCATGCAAAACCCATGCAAGTGCCATTCCTTCTGACTAGGATGTTTCTCAAGGAACTTGTCATTTAGGATAAATCAGGTTAATTTTTACAATTTCTAGCTTCTCTTTCCTGCGTACTGATGTTTCAGTCCTTCTGATCCCCCTGTATGTCAAAAAATAAAATGTAGTAAAAATGAAACAACCCCCAAAACACAGAATTGCAGATACATACATGCCAAATTAAATTTTAACATAAATTTAAGTTAATTTTACTTTAATGTACACTTTTAAGTTAAATTTAAGTTATACAAGCAAAACTATAACACATCATAATTTTCCCTAAACACTAAAAGTAGTCTCCATTACTCCTGATATTTGTATTAACAAAGGGAGCATGTACCTCTGTGCATTTAGCCTTTCTCCTTAAGAAAGGTGTAAAGATGTTCATTTTGAAATTGGCATTTGATTCAGAATAGCTTCTGAGATTGCTTTGGGAAAAAAGTGCCATGCTAAGCTACTACCACTGATACTCATGTAAAAATAAGAGGTCCTCAATTCTTATCTTAGAACTTGTCTAAAAACAGGCAAAGAAAAATTTTTCTTTCACTCTTTCTCTTTTATTTTTTTGGTAAGGTTAGTAAGGTATTCTTGCTGGCTAAATGCACCCCTTCATCCAGATGAACTCTAATTTAAATTTCATGGTGTAAATTTAGTAAGGGGCTAATAATGATTGGTACACAGCAATTACATCAGTCCCAGTACTGATTCCAAATAAGGGCAGTGTATAAAAGGGGTTTGAATGAGCCAGGCAAAGGTATTTATAGCTCTTCTTGGACTGTATCACTGTATATCCCAATTATGTCCTTGTGCGCAGTTTTCGAAATGTCTGTGCCATGCAAGTGGTCGTAAATAAAGGCAGGGAGTTTGTAATCTATCCACATTTTCTTCTGCTAGTTACAGTGAAGTAGTGCCTACGAATATCCTAAGTGCAAGTCCATCAGTTTTTCTAGTGTTTTGTGAGCTCTCCTTGTGCATGCTGATTTAAAAACAAACAAACAAAAAACAACAACAAAAAAAAACCTTGAACAGGTAAAGTTGAACTTCACAAATTGTCTTGCTTCTCTTGAGCATTGAGCCTGTTCACTTCTTTTGTTTTCATATCCATGTCTAGCTCAGACAAGTCATCCTTCAGAGCTCTGTTACAATTTCACCAACGCTCACCTGGCAGCTGCTGGGCAGGCATGTGCTATGCTACTATCCATGAATAGTTCATTCTGCTGTAAGCTTTTCGTAGCTAGCCCACCAGTGTTTGCGTGAGAAGGATTAGGCTGCTTGGGCACTGGGGACCTTTCCTTACTCTCTACTCTCCAGCTTGTGGTAAATGTGAGGTAGATTTAGCTCAGTCTCCCCTGTTTGTGATTTGGAAGCACCTGGAGAATTTGGATAGATTGTTGGGGATAGTGGCAGAACTAAGAGCCCCTGATGTTTTAGGGGACCTGAGTGAACATCGTCTCCCAGAGCACTGGGCAGATGGAGGTAGAGATTACCCTGTCATTAGAGGCTGTTTACCAAGTTGTGTTTTCTACAAATAAGCCTAACTTGCCCTGTTGCCTTCTCTTGTAATGCTTCTTAGCAGAATCTACTAAAAGCAAAAGTAAATGATTCCTGTATGAGCAAAGGAGAGAAGTATCACAATATCTTCTATCTTCAGTACATGAGAAAAGTTGAATGTCTCTTTGAGTGGATTTAACAAGAAGTCATTTCTATTTCAGGTTAAGTTTTGTGTTTTCATCTCTTCTTGAGCAGAAGGTTTGTGGCCTTCAGTGTACAGGGTGGTTTATTCAACACAATTTATACCTCTTCTGGGTCATCAGGGTAAAAGGTTATCGACAGTATGCTTGATTGGAAGCATGTTGCTCTAAAACTCAGTTCTGTCTCCATGCCCAGCTGGGAACAGTGTCTGGGGTGTGTGTTTTTGCTCGATTGTACCAGGAGTTGCTGACCACCATCTCTTACAGCTACATGTGGCATCTGTCTGCCCTCCAGTCACTGTTCATGTGTCTACATCAGTAGGCTGAAAATCCCAACCCGGTGGGTCGGCTGTCATGTCTCTTTTGCTTTTCAAGGTTATGCTTAATGTGTAGGAGAGACAGGCATCCAGGCAGGCTGGTGCATGAAATACGCTTCATATGTTCCTCTTCTCTTTTCAGAGCTGTCCAGCCCTTTAAAAGACCAAGCCAACCCTGCTTCTAGGTTAGTCTGTTTCCCTCCATTAGGATTTTGATAGCTGAACTTGCGACTGAAAATCAAGATCCCTGCCTAGAGACATTGCGCTTTTACCATGTTGAAGAGCGAGGAAAAGGAAATCTGTTAAAGGCAAAGAGTGTTTTTTGAGCTTGTTTGGTTTAGAGGATTTTGTTCATCTGTGTGTCAAAACAGTTTAATTTAAAAGAGTTCTGCAAGTGGCCAATGTCAAACAGTTTAAATTACTGATTTTTCAGCTTGAGAAAACTTAAATATTTACTTGACGTTGGGAATTCATGAAAGCCTACTGCGTTTCTCCGATGGCGTAGGACTGTGAAGTTCTCAGGCTCCCCTGTACGCTCGGAATCCAACCATCTGTTTGTTACCAGCTTGTGGCAACTGCTCGCAGCCACCACTTGTTGTGAACACGACCACGTTTATTTATGCTTCCGTCCTTGTTTACAGCACTGCTGTTTGTCAACAGTCCTTATATCCAGGCTACACCCTAACAGTGGTTCTGTCAGTCAGTCCTGGAAATATCTGGCACTTGACCCCTGCTGCTGCTTTAGCGTTTTGATAAACTGCTCAGGGGCAGTGCAGGAGGTAGCAGCACGTTGGGCAGGGCTCCTTGGCCCATTCTGCTGTTGGGATCATCCTGCTAGCTCTCTGAGCTGATGTTCTCCAGCCACGTTGATCAAATGGGGGAAGAACAGAGTCAAGATGGCCATATGTCAATACAGGCTGTTATTGGGAAGGGTTGCTCGCTACACTGTCAGCTGCTTTGGTTAAAAACTTAGGGTTTAGAGCTCTCTGACTGATGAGTATGACTTTGTAACATAGGCTGCAAGGGACTGGTAGGGGGAAAAAAAAACATTTGGCTGCATCTTGTCACTGAGAAGTTAACCCTTAGAAAAAATCCTCGTGTATTATTAGTAACTGAGGTGATTCTGACTCTTTTCCTGTTTCCCTAATATTTCATTTGTTGCTTTGCTTAACCTGTGTCCCAGGTACACGTGGGCTTGCGTGTGTGTTCTTTTTATTAGCACAGGATGTGCCCACTGCTCGCTCTATCATTTGAATGAAGCTCAGCCTTTAAATGTCATCACTGGTATGGAAATCTTCGGCTTAAAGTTTTCACACTTTAGTTATAAAAATAAGTTCGTAATTATGACTGAAACTGTTCTGACAATGGTGGTGTTGTCACGCTTTGTATGAATCAAGTGAGGGAATTCAGAGGTGAGGATGGAAGGCTGACACTGGCTCCTAACTTCCCACGCTCCTCTTTGCTCACTTGGCAGATGGTTACCATTGCTTAAAGTTGTGGCTGGTTTCTCTTACTCTTGTAAGCTGAAGAGATATTTTTTAATGTTACATTTAAAGTAAACAGTTCTTCAGAATTATGCTGAATATCGGAATTGATAATTCCCAAAGCAGGGCTAACTAAATTTACTGAATTAAAAGTGAACTTACGCAGAATTTTATTGTTTAAGAAACTTGCACAACTTTTTGATTTGGCTGTGTTTCTGGGCACAAATAATTCTCTCTATATATTTTTTAATTTTTCCTTGTAAACTAGGCAAATGGTGGCTCGAAGTTTGCTGGACACTTTGAAGGAAGTCAGTGATGATGAGAGAGATTGCATTGCTGTGTTGGAGAGAATCAGCAGATTAGCTGATGATTCAGGTAAGTAGCATTACACATTTTACTGGGTTAATGAGGGAATATCAGAAGTGCTCAAGTTGGACCAAAATCTCTTCATCGATATTCAAATGAGGTTTCTACAGAGTGCAATAATGCCATAAAATTGCATTTTCCTCAATAACATCTCCCCTCCCCTTCCCCCAAGACGTTTTTCCTTACTATTTTCCTTGACAAAATTAATCCCCTTCAAGGTGTGTGACTACCACTTTCCATCAGTATAATTTAAAAAAAATTGTATGTACTTTGGCTACTCATCAGATTTACATGGTTATTTTAGATTTGTAGATAAAGAAAAATTTATTGCTTTGAAAAGGATCTTGCAAAGCATCTGTGCCAATCTCCCATTACTTTTGATAGAATTTGAGTGCTGAAGGTGTTCTTTTGGTCCCTTTTGGGCAACCAGTGGTGAAGATGAGAGGCAGCAGGAACTGGTAGGCAAGATGCAGATAAAAGTAGTGAGTAAGAAGGAGATGTGCTTCTACTCATGAATTTCTTGAGACTGCTGGGTGTTTGGAATAAAATGTAGAAGTAGGAGAATAATGAAAAACAAATGCGAGAGGAAGGAGGAGCTCTTTAAAGAGGGCTGTCCTGGGGAAAGGGTTGAGGGGAAAAATGGTGTGGACAGAGCTGCAATGAAATTCAAGGCTGAAGATTTCTCTGGAAAAAATTAAAAGGACTTGACTGGAATCGTGCTGATATGGTTGAGGCACCAGAAGAAAGAAATAAAAGGCTTTAGCAACAAAGCATCAGAGAAATGCATTTGTCATTGGTGAATGCTATGAAGAAATAGAAAAAACTTTTTGTTAAATTTAGTAAAAGATTAAAATTTGTTCCTTTTGTTTAAGGTGTGTTAGTTCTTCTCCCTTCCAGAATTGCATAGCGCAATGCTTTCCAAAAGTAAAAGAAGTACTCTGCAAGATCCTACTGTTCTCAGTTGAAATGCACGTTTTTACTTTTGTGAGCTAATGTCCTTGTTTAGCCAGGAAAAACAGCCTGTCATAAGCATTACCTAATTGTATTGACTACTTCTCCAACACTTCTTTAAGAAGAATAAAAAATCACTTCATTTCAAATGAAATGGTTTTAATCATGAACAGGGGCATGCAACTGTTCCAGAGCGCTTAGCTAGCTAAGCTCTGCTTCTCTACACATTTTGTGTGGCACTCTTAACAGCTTTGAGCACCAGGAACTTGCTGAAGTTTCATTTCGGCCTTGGAAATAAGACAGATGTATGGAGGAGAAAATGACTTTGTGCAGCAACTTCGTAGCCTTAGGCTTTTCCTTGGTGATCAACCAAGTGTGTCAAAGTCAGGCTTGTTTAGGTAGAAACGTAATGATTGCCAAGAATTGAGCTCAAATCAATTTGTTGCCTTTAACAGGGGTGGAGTACATTTTTAGTCAGGGTTGATATTTTCCCAGCGTCAGTAAAAGCAGCATTTCAGGCTTTTCCTGCGTTGTAGAGGTTGTCTTGGCTCTGCCAAACTAGTAGCACTGGATTCTGCAGCTGCTCCACAAATTAAATTTCTGCAAACTTAGCTGTGAGTTTCACGCCTCGAGCAGTTGCAGTGTTGGACTTGGTATATTTCTGTACCAGGGGTGATTAGAATAACCTTACGTCTTTAACCATACCAAAATTCATTAGGAAACTAGATCTGCTTTGTAGCCTTACAATGTGTGTTCTTTCATACTATTTAAACGGCAGCGTAGTGGGGTTGTTTTGTTTTGTTAAGGTTGCTATTAATAGAACTGTTTTTCATTTTTCTCATATCTGACGCTTTCTTTTCCATAATTTTTCCTACTTGCTTTGTAAAACATATAAAATAGCTGAATTTGGAAGAAGAAAACATAATATCAGCCATGCATTTTGACTTGCTTGGTTTGAGCCGTAGTGTAATATGGTCAGGGCCATCCTGGAGTCAAATCATGTTTAAATACATAAATAAAAAAACTGCTGGGAGGTCAGCCTAAACTGTGCGCAGGTCTTCTCATTTCTAATAGCTGATACTTACTAGCCTGTTCTCCAACTTGGGGGAGTGTTTTCTTGTCAAATCAAGTCAGAGAAAGTATGACACTTTTTTGGTTTTTGACAGTAGTTGCTATGTTAAGGTTTGAATTGAAGAATGCAGCTGGGATATACAATATCCATGCTGTCTTTGTACTGCTGGTGTTATCTAAAACACTGTAAAGATATCTAAGCAGTCCTTTGCCCTATTAATACCCTGTAACTTCTCAAGTCCTGTTGATGGGCTGATGTTTTTCAGACATGTTCTTTGCTCCTCTGCCTGAAAAATGTTTCCTCCTGTTTTTGGATGAGTTGGGACTACAATGAGACAGCTGTTTCTTGTTGTGTTTGAGGGCAAGAGAATTTCAAAACTAATTATTGTTATTGTTGTACTGCGATAACACTGTATGAATCTAAATGACATCGTTGTTGTGCTAAACACTGCATTCATGTGAAATAAAAATCTTTACTAGAAGATCTGCATTCAAATATGTGATTGCAGGAGGGAAAGAACAAAAATCCATGAGATGTATGTGTCAGTATGATATTAATAGCATGCTGACACATCTTGATACACCAATCCCTATACAAGCCCATCTTGATATACCAATGGGCTAGCCGTGATGTAAATTTTTGAGGGATCATGACAAATATCAGCTAAAACTACTTATTAAAAAAAAAAAAAGGTGATAAAAAATTGTCAGGTATCTTTTGGTAGGAAGTCACCTGGACTTTTCAAGTAGTCTTGTTAGCATTACTTATTTATGAAAGTTTCTTTGTTAGGGTATGGAGGAGGAGAATTAAGTATTGCCTATCGAATAGTGTTTGTGCAAGGGAGTTGTGTCTACCGTTGTGGTGTTACACGAACAAATTGTATGAAGTGGGTCTCTTCCTGGCAGGGTATTTTGGGTGTTTTCTAACGGAGGGATTCCACATTGTTTGTGGCTTTGCAGCTTAGTGTTAGATCACTAGTATCCACTTGAGACAATGCTGAAAATGAGGTGCTGCCAGCTTTGGTGTGCTGAGAGAATGCAGGAATTGCTGTGCCCTAGCATCATACCCTGCTGTAAGTGGCAGCAAAAAATACTTATTTCACTGGAGGAAAAGCATCAGTGACAGTTTAGGAATAATCTGCTGCTTCCGACCCCCTTACTTGCCAAATAAACTTTTTCTTCCCTATGATCTTTGGTAGTGAGTTATCTAGCATAGTTCCAGCTGTGCTAGGAAGGTGATAGTAGATTTCAAAGAAATATAAGGTATTTAATCACGTTGTAATTTCTCTCTTTCTTTAGGGTTGCTAGGTATTGCTTCTCACTTAAGTGTTCTTATGGTGCCTTTGAACCCATGCAGGCTTGGTGATTGGCAAATGTGATTTTATTCCTCAAGAAACCCTTGTTAGTGTTAGAAACAGCTGGGCTGTCTTCATTCTCAAGTGTAGACTAGTTACAGACTTTCATGAGTTTGAACAAGGCCCTTATGTCTTTTTCACTTGTATGAATTTGTATTCATTTCTTTTTATGCCAGCCTGTGAATGGATTGTATAATGCAGGGCTTCATTGCTGCGTGCACAAGTACCATTAGCTTGCTTTGAAAGTTAGCCTCGGCCAGAATTGAAACATTCTTGGCATTTTGCTTCGTGTGACTGCAGTGCTGTGCACCAGAAGCTTTCCGTCTTTTGCAAGGGTTCTTTTAGAGGGAGAGCCTGGGTCTTCATTTTTAAAAATGGATGTGGTATTTTAGTGTCCTGGGAAATAAATACACACAGGTATTCTAAAGAAATGCTGCAAAAAAAGAAAGTGACTTCCTGGAGGAGTTGTACTTACTTGCTTGAATGTAACCAACTAGAAACTTTTCTCCTGAATGAAAATAGTCTTTTTTTTCTTTTTTTTTTTTTTTTTTTCTGCATAGAATCAGTTGTGGATGCAGTTTGCAGAGCGCACTGAGTTTTAGAAACAATTATTAGCCTAATTGGTCATTAAGCTTCGAAGCTGTGTAATCAGCCTTAATGTGGATGGCCTTGCAACCTTAATTACTTAATAGTGTGTTTAACCTGTGTTAGCAACACCATTCAAATCAAATTGCAGTTGTTACAGTGAGAGGTGCCAACAGTGTCTGTCTGACAGCACATAGTATGGCACTGCATTTAACGAGATCTTAACATTTATGAAATATCAGTGGGAGCAGGGAGTTCCCTTTCCCTGCTGTCAGTAGCTACCCTCATACCTCTTCCCCCACCTCCTGCTACGTGATTTTTTCCCTTCTGCTGCTGCAATCCTTTTTCATCTCCCTGTGCTTCTAATTGATGACTAATGGGGACTTTCCCCTCGCTCATTACTTAACTGTGCTTCACTCCTGGTTTGTCAATCAGTAATGAAATTGATTTCTAGTTAGTAAAAGAAAATAACCTGACTAGTGAAGCAGCACGCAAATCAGACACATCCGTCTGTCTGATGGACCCTTAAGCTAAAAGGATGGGCTCTGGGCACACAGTGGATTTTCACTTGTCTAGGTTTTCTTTTGCCTTCAAAAAAAAAAAAAGGTAAGAAAGGTGGAGGGATATATGAAATAGGAAACGAGAGAAATTGAAAAGAGCAATGTAGTTAATGCTAGAAGAAAAAAAGAGGGGGAAGGAAACATACTTGGGAACAAAGAGGGTGAAGTTTGAATTGGTAAACTGCAGAATTTATTTAATTTAAAGTTTATTTTTGACCATGCAAATGACTCTTTCCATTACTATCTAAAATGATGTTGATAGATTTTCATCTCCAGTACGTTGTCGACTTCATACTCCGGCTGAATACATAAGTGAGCATCTGTACAGGGGGATGGGTATGAAGGTGTTTTCCACATGGCTTGTTTCTCTCTAGTACATGCAAATCAATATTTTCATTTGGTCTTTCACCATAAGATTTTTTAAAGAATGAATGTGTAAATGCAAAGCTATGAATTCACACATTTCTTTCTTACTCAAAACCCTCTGTCTATGAAAATAAATATTAATACTGAGGTGTACTTAAAACATTAATCATAGGCGTAAGTTGAGGCAGCCTTAACATCACCAAGTCGTTTTGTGTTGGTAGCAACACAAAAACATCACAGCTCCTCACAGATGCAGGGGAAATTGGTCATTTTGGGATAACCAAAGCTTTGCAGAATTTGTTCCAAATACTGTATGTGTTGCAGAATAACCAATTGTGAAATAAGTCTAATTGTGAGTTGGCTCTGGAATAATGACTTCATTTAAAAATAACTGTTCTGGAGCAATTAGTCTGCAGTAATCCCCTTTTCATTTCCAGTATGCAGCTCTAACCATGGTGCTTCACTTCCTCATAGCTGAAGAATACAGTAAGCATTGCACATTTATATAGGAAATTTGAGGGAGGTAGAACTGTATCATTTTATTATGGCAACTTCTTTATGAAGTTATTCCACAAACAGAAGAAATAGAAGTTTATTTTCACTTCTTCTGTCATTCTTTTGGATTGATTTCTAAAACTCAGTTCAGTAATTCTGTGTCTAGAGAATACAAGAGAGCTGACAGAATGAAATAAAGTGCTAATGAATGAGAAAAACGATTGAGTTTGCTCCTGAAATCTAATCTGGTGTTAATGTTTCTTTCCAATTTTTCTTTGTTTTGACAAGTTGCAGGGTTTTTTCAGTAGCCTGCTACTTTAAGGCATAGGCTTGTACCTTCAGGAGATAGTATTTTTAAATGTGCTTTTCAAACTTACTCTTCCAAATGGAAATAGTTATGTTCTGAGCAAATGGTGTGGAGAACCTAATCGTACACGGTAATTTTCCAGAGTGCTTAGAATAGAAACTCTTAATCTTGACATGAAGTGAAATTCTCCATCCAGATTTGGTTTGTATTTTGTGAAAGCCTGGTCCTGACTCTGTGCAGTGTAAAAAATAAAAATAAATATATTTAATATATATATATACATATATATATATAATATATGAAATACAGATGTGTTCCCCAGCTGGATAAGCTTCTAATTTAAGAAGCGTCATGTAATAATTCTGTTTGTTACTTCCACAGTTCATTTGCTGTGTTGATGACCGAGGCATAAATGTGGTTATAAACTACTGAGAAGTTAAAACTAAAATGGCAGGCACTGTGTTGAAGCCTGCTGACAGGCCTTAGGAGCTGCAGCCCGGCAAAGCCGAGGAATGAATTACAGGAATGACAAAGTGCAGGATCTTTAGTAGAAGTCTTTGGCATTGAGTTATGTTTCCTAAAGACCCAAGCAACAGCAAGAAAAAAAATTGCTCAGCTGTAACCTTGTCAGACTGCAAGATTAGACGCTATTCAGTACACACTGGAACATATGCTGCAGTGTTTGGAAGAATTGAGGTCTTATCTAAATTGGGAAGCTTACAGTTCAGGTTCTTGCACAGCAGCAGTAACTCTCTGGAGCAGCACAGAGCCTTTTTGGTAGTGGATTACAGCGTTGCTTTACAGAGCCAACGACACACAGTGCAGGTTTGTTTGCTGGTTTTAATCAAGATTACTAAGATGTCAGAGCCACGTACGTAAAAATTAGGAGATGTACGAACCAAGGTGCCTTTACGGTCCTAATTCATTCCTGGGCATGAATTTTTCACGTCTTTAATTGTACCATCCCAGCTGTTTTACAAGAGTGCTTCATAAAGAAATTCGTGAAGTCATTTCCACAGCAAAACCAGTCGGTTTAGGGAAAAGGAAGCGTTGTTGTGATGCTATCAGTGGGCACGTAAACTGCAGAGGTATCAAAGTCAAAGCAGCCTGCCCATTGTGAGTGCCTGGTGTCTGGAGCTTCAGACGTGGCTCTGGGTACGCTTAATGTGGAGCTCTTGTTGGGTTTGATTGCAGCGGTAGCCTTTATCCAGCAGTGAAGCCAGAGTTTAAGGCTCCAATTGAATGAAGTAGCGTGCAATTACTGCGTGAAGGGTTTGGCTTAAGCATTTCACACAGCTTCGTGCTGGACAAAGGAGCAAATCAAGCTCCTCTGAGGTATTTTGCTGCTCCTGCTCTATTCAGATAATAGTGTCACAGTAAGTAGTCCCTGTGCCCTCTTTTACTCTCTTCTTGCTTCTGTCATCAGAAAGTTCTGCTGCTTGACAGAGATGTGATTGCAGAGGGAAACCAATCCAAGTGCCAGTTCTTTCTGTTTAATCATCCTCATGTGGTGGGGCAAGAGCTGTGTCAGCCAGATCAGTCCCTTGATAGGGCTTGTTGGCTGGCTGCATTGGCATAATGGAAGGGCCAGCTGCAAGGTTGGGGTTTGGGAGGGTGGGAACCGCCTGAAGCAAATTCAGGAAGAGTTTAAGAAGCGCTGCTGCCAAACACGAAGCCTCAGCTGAATTTCTCCTCCTCTTTCCCACTCCTCTTCCCAACCACCCCTATCCCCCCGGTAAGTATCAGTCATCTTCCTTTTGCCACAGGGAGCAAGGCAGGGGTCCGAAGAAGTGAGAAGGAGATCCTAGTGATAAGCGTTGTGACACAAGCCTGGTGTACCCTTAGATCATGTCCTGGACGTGTTTTGAAGTAGCAGCCTTATGAGAAAGGTGGGAGGAAATCCCTCCAGCCCTGGCGTTGGGCCCTGCTTCCAGTTTCTTGTCCAAAGTAAAGCTAGGCCTTATCTGATGAAGGGAACAGAATTCAACGTAGGAAGAAATCAGATGGTCTTGCCAAGTTCGGTCTTGAAAACAGCTGATCTGCTTTTGGTTTTTCCTGGGAAAACCTCATCCAGTGAAGATCAACAGCTTACGCTGTCCTGTGTGCTAATGAATCTTTGGTGAATTTTTATAAGGAAGTGAAAGATGAGGTACTGTGTATTAGGCAACTTTAAAGCTAGGAGGTGCTGAAAGCTTCCAAAAGAAAACTAAACATAAATTAGAAAAAACAGACTGAAGATGGTAAATTTTTATTTTCAAAGCTTTTTAGAAAAATAATAATAATCCTTTTAGCAAGAATTAGTATTTCCTTCCCTTATGTTAATGTGATACATAGTTGTTGTTTTTTTTTTCTTTCAAAAATTAATGATCTCATTAAAGTTTATCCTATGTGCAGGTGCTTAGTTTGGTCAGCTATTATGTTTAATGTTAACAAACACTGTGTTCAAACTGAAATCCAAGTCTTCTGGTATCTGTTCGTTTTCATTATTTCAGGTTTACTAAAACTTGCACGTAGTTTGAGTAGTATTTTTCAAGATCTGGCTTCTTCAGTGCCAACTTCTGTGTGTATACATATGTGTATTGCTTATGGAGTTCAACCTGCACGTGTTTCAGAACAACTGAAATTTAAATAAGAAAGCATTTGTCATATATGTTCTTATTTTATTGTTTTAAGAAGAGAAACAAAGCAGACTGGGAGACTTTTTCTTTATTATCATGAACAGCAAACCTATTCAGTATTGATTTGTCTGGGATTTCATTTTGTATTTTGAACTTTGCCAGGAGGTCATAAACTCTACAGAGCTTTTTTTTTGTATTTTTTTTCTATAGGAAAAATAATTTAAGTCTATAGTCAAAGAAATGGAGCAAACAGACGTTTGATAACTTTGTGTGCTATGATTCTGTTCTCATCCTCAGTGAAGAGACTACACAAAGCATGGTACTTGCTTTGTCTTTGTTCTGTTTTATTCAGTCTTAAGCTGTCACTTCTAACTAATGCTCAAGAAAGCTAAGAGCTGCATGCATTATCCATGTAAAATACAAATCACATGTTCCTATTTAGCAAAAGTTTATGGTTTTAATGTTTCATGTTAATTCCAGGTATATTCTAGGAAATATGGTTTTGTCACACCATTGAGTTTTACCTGGACAATTGCTTAGTAAAAATCTAGTAAGGCACACGTATCCCATGAACAGTATAATTTTCAGTATTTTTAAAATATTATAAATCAGTTTATTTTCACTTGAGAGCAATTGATGGGTTTTCAGTATGTGTTCTTGTAGGTAATCAGTTCTCTAGCAGTAACCACAGATGTAAACAAATTTTGAAAGGAGAGAAATACTTAGTACTTAGGTCTGAAATGATTTTATTTTATTCATGTGGATAAGTGGACTATTAGGCATGTGGTAATGCCCTACTTCTTCAATTGAATATGTTCTTTTAATACTCAGTTGGAATTTAATCCATATTTAATTTTTCTTGTTTCTCCTCTCATTCCCCAAATAGACGAGCCCGTTCTGCAGGGATTAGGACTCATTCAAGCAGTGCAGCGTTTTCTTAATTGAAAAAGTAAATTAAGTATTCTTGAACCAGTCACCAACTCTGATGAAAAACTTATCTAAAAGGTTTAAGAAACAACTGGAAGGACTCAGGACTATTTCTATGTGACAAGAATATCGGTAGACTTAAAAAAGCATAGAATGAAAAAAGCGTCTGTGGTTGTGGCTGTTTATCCTGCTTAGTGAATCTTTCCCACATGAAAGGCTGCAGCCAGGACAGTTCGAAACCAGTTTGTTTCTTCCCATAGTGGTAGCAGTGTTGGGATGACTTCCTGCAGAGCATTTTTCTTGGAAGCAGGTGATGCTTGTAGGGAATTTGGTTGGATTCTGATACTCAGTGTTTGATAACTTGCTCTTTTGTGTCTGTGGTGTTGTTGGTGTCTTATTTATTTATTGTAATTGATAATATGGGCCAAGGCTAAATATTTTGTAGAAGTTAGGAGTACACAGTATATTTGTACCTGGTTGTGCAAGAAGATGGTGCTTATTGAAATGACACTCACTGTAAAGATACTGAAATGAGCACTTGAGAATGCAGTTTGTATGTACAGAACTGTGAAAAGGCTTATCCTGGCAATATCTGGCAGTATGTTAACATTTACAATGCCTTTTTTGGTTTTATTTTGACCCTGACAGAGCCTACAGTGCGGGCAGAACTGATGGAACAGGTGCCTCATATTGCTATGTTTTGTCAGGAAAATAGACCTTCAATCCCATATGCTTTTTCCAAATACTTGCTACCTATTGTGGTACGGTACCTTGCAGACCAGAACAACCAGGTAAGTGTCTTGTAAAAACAGTTTATAAGCTAGTTAAATATTTCTGTTGTGAGGTTTTTCAACTTAGCTTATTTAGGATCATATAAATGGGTCATATTTTTAAGTGAAAAAGGTTTTGAATGAGTTGAAGTACATGGTACTCTGAAATCATTAAGAACTTTGAATATTTTTCACTTAAAGTGATCTCTTCTGATCTTGGGGCTTTCATATGGTATTATGTTCTTACGGGCAAAATCAAACAGTCATTTTTCTAAGCTAACATAATTAAATTCTGGCAAAAAGGGAATTTAATAGTTACAAAAAAGCTGACTTCTTGTTGTAATTCAATTTTTTAAGCGCTGTTACGTACTTTCATATCCAGTTCTTTGTATAATGATCCAGTAATTGCTGTTTTATAAGCTGAATTTGCACAGAACTTTGTGTGGTTTTTATGTCTTCATGTATGAATTATCTCATCTAAACTTTTCTGTAGGATTCTCCAAGTCATTTCAGAGTCAATCCTAGCTGGAGTTTTATCTCAAGTAATTTAGAACTCTGAGCTTTAGTCATTATTATATATATATATATTTTTTTTTTAACTTTTGCCAGGTTTTCCATAATTAAAAGTAGGTATCAAAACCAGGCATAATGCTTTTCTACTGATACACATGACCTTGTGTTTGCAAGTATTAAGTTCATGTAGTACAAATGAGCTTTCAATTTATCTGGATTGTTCCAGTTGACTCCAGCAATTTCTGAATCATCTCCAAACTTTTTATCAGTAACTCTGGATTTTTTTTCCCAAATGATAGCAAATGCATGATGTTACATTTGTCAGTGCTAGGTAGACAAATACTGAAGAGCACTGAGGACTAATTCCCCTAGAAACAGTTATATTGAGTAATAATTATCTCCATCAAATTACTTTTTGAGTGTCAGTAGTTAACTACATATGAAGTCCAATTAGTAGTGGTCATCCTATTTTTGTACATTTTTTTTTTTGCTAGATGGAACAAAACAGAATTGACTTTAGGAATTTAAAGCATGTTCAAAAAAAATGCAGTTATTTATTGTCAATCAAACTCAGTAATCTCAGAAAAAAGAGGATTTGTTTAATGAACCTCATGCCATAGAACTTTGTTACTCCCAATTAGCTATGCTGCTTCTCCTCTAGGGCTTTTTTTTTTTGGCATGGCTGTCATGACTTTTGGGAAATACGTAGGCGGACACTCTTATAATAGCATTGCATTAGTATATAATAAGCTGGCATTCTTGGATCTGATGTTTTGTTTCAAACACTAAGTGTTTGCAAAAGCTTTTTTGGAACACTTGTCTCCTCTCTCTGAGTCCCACAAAGAGTAGGTGTGTAGCAGTGGGTATGTACAGCTCCCAAAATACTAGAACAGTTTTTTTTTTTTTTTTTTTAAAAAAAAAAAAAAAAAAAAAAAAAGCCAAACCACTTTAAACTCCTTGGTTTGATTTTTGTCTTCTTCTGTCAGGTAAGAAAAACAAGCCAGGCAGCATTGTTAGTTCTGCTGGAACAAGAACTCATAGAGAGATATGATGTGGAGACCAAAGTATGCCCTGTTCTGATAGATTTGACAGCTCCAGACAGCAATGATGATGTGAAGACAGAAGCCGTGGCTGTAAGTAACAGCAGCGTTGAACTATACAGTACAGCATTTGCTTGAATGGTTGGTGTTGCCATGCTGCCATGTTTCCAAAGATGCACATCAATGTGGTGAGAGAGAGGAAAATTTACATTTCTATCCGTAACTAATCCATAATTTTTTTTTTCCATGCTGTCTTACACAAGTCAAGTTTAAACTCTATAGCTTGTATGTGCTATGAAGAAAAACCCAACTGGACAAGCTGAGGATTAATTTATTGACTCCTAAAGCATCTGCTATTGATGGTTTCTTGTTTTTTTGCAGGTTTCTTTTGTGGAGGTTTAAATTACATATGTGGAAAATTTCCACCAGTGGAAAATGTTTAATGCTTGAATTCTTTTGGTCTTTATATTTGCTCTCTTTATTGATTTTTTTTTTGATTGGACAAAATAGAAAGCATTTGAATTGACTTCTTTTTTGTTTGTTTTTGCATTGGATACAACCTTGATAATTAAAAATTCCTGTGTGCCAAATTAAAATAGAAAGCAAATTAATAATTCATAAAGGAGAAGGGGCAGAGGCTGTGTGTGCAAATGCTTCTGTTTAATTTTTTTTAGTTTGTGTTGATGGTTTTTGCTGGATGAATTTTTTGTTCTGAGTGGATAAGAAAAACCTCATTAATATTTTACTGTCATAATGTGGCCGGATTACTAAATTGGCTGGGCATTTGACACCAAATTTACAATACTTTCTTGATGAAGCTTACAAATCTGTAAAGGAATAGAATTCAAAGCAGAGATTGCTTTATGCATCTTCGTTGTTTTGAAGATACTGAAACTTGAGAAAGATTTCTGTACTAAACTAAGTATTTATTAGTATAAAAATGAACGTAAGTAGGTATATGGATATGAGTAGGAAAGTTAAAATTCTTCTAGACTACCTTCTTTTAAAAAAATTTGTAAAAATCAGAATGAAAGAGCAAGGTAAAGCTGGTATGATATGATTCTTTGTATGATATATTTGGTATGGTATGATACATTTCTTTGGTATGATACAATTTTTCTCAGTAATTTTATGTTAAGGAATTAGAGGTAACCAATATCAACTATTGTAATTAATTTTAAAATCATACAGGAGATATAGAAGTCACTTAACCATATTAATTGTCAATGCTTTTCTGTTAACTGTCAAAGAATTCCTCAGGTACTGGAATAGTGAAAGTGTTGTAGTTACCGATTTATTTTTTTTTGACTATAATTCAGTTTGGAAAAAACACATGTAATTTCTGAGAGCTCACTTATTTTAATTGGTTTTCATTCTGATTTAACTCATTGAAAGGCCAATGTCTCCTACAACTGCATTGCATTATAGCAGGGAGAAGGTTAAAAAAGAAAAAGATAAAAGGAAGGGGGGGGAAAAAAAAGCTTTTAGCTTTTTTGTAGGAGTGGCCAAACCTTTTCAATTCAAGATCTAGATTTCTTCCAATATTTTTCACAATTCTCAGTTTTTTGTATCAGAATAAAAAGTAAATGTAAAAAGGCTCTGCTTAACTGACACGGAATTGTCTTGTGCAGTCATTCCTAATTATTGTCTGTCTTGCCACTAGATAATGTGCAAAATGGCCTCCATGGTGGGAAAAGACATCACAGAACGACTTGTTCTTCCTAGGTTTTGTGAGATGTGCTGTGACTGCAGAATGTTTCATGTTCGTAAGGTATGAATTATCAGCATCTAGTCTGGTTTATCTGTGAAAGGAGTGTCATCAACTTGGGACTTGCCTTTGTCTAAATGACATTGTCCTGCTAGATTTCATTTGTGACGTTTGTAAGTGAAAGCTATGGGTTTTTTTTGTAGCTTGTCTTTCCACAGATTGTGTATTTGACACTTGAGTTTTTTTTCCAGAGTACCTACTTTTATTATCAGAAACAAAGAAAGAAGCTGTATGTCCTTATGATTGTGCAGGTAGCCATGAAAATGTGACCCAGCTGTATCTGATAAAGCATCAGCTACCTGAGCTCATAGCTTAGTACTTAGAATTAAAGATGCTCATTAAGATGAAGCAAACCAGTATTTTATCATGGAACTTAGGTGCTGAGGCTGTGTTTCGGTTTCACCCTGCCATTGTATAACTTCTTTTTCTTTATAATTGCTTGGGGTGTTTCATCTGACAGCACTTTGAACATATTTAATCTTCCTTCGCTTTCACTTAAGTTTTGGGGTGCTCCTTTAATGATTTTTAAAAGGCTGATTAAAGTTGAAGATTTTTTATTATTTTGTTATTTTTATTTATTATCATTATTATTTTTAAACTGTAGAAATTGATGGATTGGGGAAGTGGCTGATTTTGAGTTAGCACCAAAACTGCTTTTATGGTTTTAAAAGCTGTTTAGACTTTTCATGCTGTATTAAAACAATTGTTTTAGTAGTTATCTCTTTCATTTTGTCTGCAAGGTATGTGCAGCCAACTTTGGAGATATCTGCAGTGTGGTTGGGCAGCAAGCCACTGAAGAAATGCTGGTAAGCCACCATCTCTTAAAGGTTTTTTCTTTTTAATAAGAGTCCGTAGTGGAGTTAGACAAGGTATACAGAAGGACAACTGAAATTATTAGGAAACTGCTATGTTTCCATGGTAAGGAGAGACTGAAATGCTGTGACTCTTAGTTTAACTGATAGGAGGTTGTGACTGAGGTTTGCAAAATCTTTGAAGACCGTTACCATGAATACAGACCTCTTAGTTGCCAAATCACACAGTCTAGAGCTTAGGGGTACTAAACCTAGAGGGGTATTAAACCTAGGGGAAGGGTTTAAAACTGACCAAAGAAAATACTTCAGGTTGTAAAGACAGAGTACCAGCAAATTCAAAAAGGCAAGAAGTAGGCAGGAGTGTGTCTGCTAATGTCCGTAATGCAATGAGAGATTGAGAAAATGAGACCTAGTCTGATCCTCAGGAGGTTTCTTATTTTCTTATAGTATTTGCTGCATTTTCCTTAGGTACTGTGTGATTCAAGCAATTTGATAATGGAGTATCTTTGCTCAGATTTACATCCTACATGCTTCTTAATTAGGGATGTAAATTGATTTCTTTTACACAGATGCTGTCTTAGTGATACGTGTCAAGAATTTGGATTGGAGTATTAAAAAAAAAAAGTGGTTATTAGTATGTCAAAGCAATATCATGTAGCTAGACTGTTCTTAAAAATGTTGGGAATGTCTTTCCATAACGAAAAATGCTGTTTTGCGTGTTCTTTGTCATGTGAAGTTAGTTAAACTAATGCATCTGTTGAGTATGAGGGCAGAGAACTTGATGAAGGAAGTGGATAGGAAAAAAGAACCCACTTTGAAACAAATATTGTCTGCTAAGACTTGCAAACTTGCTATGTCCTGAACAGTTGCCGAGGTTTTTCCAGCTCTGCTCTGATAACGTGTGGGGAGTTCGAAAAGCCTGCGCTGAATGCTTCATGGCCGTTTCTTGTGCAACATCACAAGAAGTCCGACGGACGAAGTTGTCAACCCTTTTTATTAATTTGATTAGTGATCCTTCACGATGGGTAAGAACTGTTTTTTATTTCTTGAATAACTGTTACGGTTTAAGGTTTTTACTGTGGTATTCCGTATGTAACTTCTCCCCATAGGTATGGATACCACGGGTTTCACACATCTTGAGCAATTCTTGTTGGAATGCTTAGTTTGTCAATAGGCATAAAGATTTCCTCACATTTCCACTGTATGTAAGAAAAATTATGTCACTAGGACAGCTTTTCTTAGCCACAGAACTACCTGTGACTTCATGTTGCTAAAAATCATCAACAGATCTAAAAAACTAGATGCTATTTATTGATATTTCTCAGGTCCGTATCACCATCTCCTTTTTGTCCTCATGGTCTACTCTTCAAACATTGAGGTTGTTGAGCAGACTACTTCTAAAGAGCCAAAAGTGAACTTTTGCAAGCTGTGTTTAAAAAAAAAAAAAAGTCATGCGAGGTGTGGCCCAGCAGAATTAATCTAATAATAGATATGAACATAGATAGGATCAGTGGTGGGAGGGGAAGAATAAATAGCAGGAGAAAGGAGAGGAGCAAATGAAGGATGTAATGAACTAGGAAGGGAAAAAATACTAAGCTTGTCATCAGTCAAATTCATGATACTGAAATGTGTGTTTGCCACACCACAACTCTTTCCTTCCGGGTCGTTAAAATTCTTAACTGAGCTTTCAAATTTATACTTCTGATATTTAAATAATTTCTTTGGTTGTGGGGAATGGGCCTGTCAACATACAGTTACCTGTGATTTAAATGTTTTTACGCTGTTTTTTCTTAACGTTTTTCACCTATCAGTCTAGATATACAGCTGGCTTGCTTTTCTAGAAAAGAGCCTCTGCTGTTGCTTTCCTTCATAGACCTACAACCCTTAGGTCCTCCTAACAGTGGTCTCTTATGTTTTGTAGGACTAGCACTATTTATATAACTTTTTTTTTTTTTTCTTGGACCCTTTCCACTAGGTCCGTCAAGCTGCTTTTCAATCTCTGGGGCCTTTCATATCAACTTTTGCTAATCCATCCAGCAGTGGTCAGTATTTTAAAGAAGAAGATGGTAAAAACCCAGAGGATCATGGTTCTTCACAGGAAAACAGGTAAAGAATTTCCTAAATCTACAGATTATTTTTTTTCTCCTTGTTTTTCTTCTATGTGAACTTCAAGTTCAGAAAGTTAACTTTACTGCATAAATCTTGGAAAAATCGGGAACTTCTCATCTTACTGAACGGAGGACCAGAATTTTCAGTTATTTACAAAAAATTACCTGGTAGATGAGGGGAGAACAACAGATATTGTCTACGTAGAATTCAGTGAGATTTTTTGACACCATCTTCCATAAGATCTTCGCAGAGAAGCTGTTGTTGACTTATGGGGCTGGATGGGTGGACAGGGAGGTGGATTTCAAACCGGCTGAAGAGCCAGGATCAGGGGCTGGTGATGAGTGGCATGAAGTTTAGTTGGAGGTAACTAGCAGTGTGCCCCAGGGGATCAATACTGGGTCCAGTTCTGTTCAACGTCTTCAGTAATGATCTGGATGACTGGGCAAGGTGCACCCTCAGTGAGTTTGCAGGTGACATAAGACTGGGAGGAGCAGCTGAGACACCAGAGGGTTGTGCTGCCATCCAGAGGGATCTTGAAAGGCTGGAGAAACGGGCTGGCAGGAATTTTGTGAAGTTCAGCAAGGGGAAGTGCACAGTCTAGTACTTGGAGAAGAACAACCCCAGGCACCAGCACGTGGTGTGAGCTGCCTGGCTGGAAGGCAGCTCTGGAAAGCAGAAAAGGTCCTGGGGGTCCTGGTGGACACCAAATTGAACGTGAATCAACGTGCCCTTATGGTAAAGAAGTCTAATGGTATCTCGGGCTGCGTTTAGGAATACTGCTGGCATGTCAAGGAAGGATCATCCTTGCCATCTACTCATCAATGGTAAGGATGTATCTGAAGTGCTGTGCTCAGTTCTTGTAAACCTGAAAGAGATAGAGCAACTGGAGAAAGTCCAGCAAAGGGCTGGAGGATGATGGACTGGAGCATCTATCCTGTCAGGACAGGATAAACAGAGCTGGGACTGTTCAGCTTACAGATGAGAAGGCTCAGGAGGGGATGTTATTAATGTATAATACCTGAAGGGAAGGTATAAAGATGGTGAAGCCAGACTCTTTTCTGTGGTGCCCAGTGCCAGGACAAGAGGCAATGGGCACAGACTGGAGCCCAGCTTCCCTCTGAACATCAGGAAGCATTTCTGTGCTGTGAGCGCAACTGAGCACTGGGACAGGTTGTCGAGGGAGGCTGAGGAGCCTTCCTCCTTGGATATCTTCAAAACCTTTCTGAACGTGGCCAAGGTGTCACTGCTTGAGCAAGGGGCTTGGACCAGATGACCTCCTGAAGTCCCTTCTAATCTCAACCATTATCCTTTGATTCTGTGATTAGTTTTGCTATGCTGTAAGTAAATCCAATGTGATAAATAACAAGCTGATAGTATCTTTATGAATTTTCAAAATGTTTGCAACAAGTTTATTTTTTAAATAGTCTGTTTGCTTTGTCACTCAACAGTGAACAAATCAGAACCCCAGAAGATGTCACAGCAGAGGATGAGCACAACAGAACAGAGGATCTGTCTTCACGTGTCGATAGTGATGATTTTGCAAGAAAACTTGAAAATGCCGTGGGAGATCAAAATGCAGTGGCAAATCACTCGCAGCGGGAAAGCGATTTCCAGGCGGAGTCACCCTTTCATTGCACTTCATCTTCAGAACCATGCGGGGAAACGGCTGACGAGAACGAGCGAAGTTCTCATCACTGTACAGCAGGACTGCGGGAGGCCGGGCAAAGTTCACAGGAAACCTCTCTTTCAGAGCAGGAACTGTACAACTCCTTTCATTTCTGGAGGACTCCACTTCCTGAGATAGATATTGACTTTGAGCTTCAGCAGACCTCTGAGATAATACTCGATAGAGAAATTCAGGAACTCACAATGCCGGTGTCTCCAAACATTCCTATGGCAACAAGGAAAGAGCTGGAAGAAATGATAGAAAATTTGGAACCCCACATAGACGATCCAGATGTAAAAGGTATTGTAAAGATACTGAAGCATTTTTGGTGTTTGGAGGTGTGTGTGTGTTGTGTTAGCAGTTTGGGCTTGAACCTTATCTCAGAGTCAGCAGAGCTACTTTCTCCTCGTCCTTGAAGAAATCATTTCTATTTTGATTTAAGTGGGAGAAGTGATGATGTACCAAAATGGAACTTGCATTTGTATAAAAATGTTTCAAGGTAGCATAATCCCTTCCATAAACTGAATATACCTAGCACTATAAAATTTTAACTGCCTCTTTTGACAGTGCAATCAAATAGATGGCTCAGCGGTATAAGCTGTAGGTTGCGATATGATTTTCTAATTAGCACACGTGCAAAACAAAGCAGATAAAGGTTTTTTGAAACACCAAAATACGAGAAACTTGGCTTTCATTTTATGAGTTGCCTATTTTGTTCTTAATGAATCAGTCTTATCGATTTTTCTATAAGATCTTGATTATTGCAGTCTCATGTTGTCTACTTCAGTGTGCCAAGTGGAAAATTGATCCAAGATGAGTTTTTTGAAGTGAACACACATCTTGCATTTTAAAAGCTTGACTAGCTGGTACGGTATCACCTCAGAGATGCCTCCTGGGCTAAAATGATGTGGCTGTTTCACACCTACCTCCTGGAGATAGGTGTCCTTGAAACTCATACGCTGAATAAATCTTAAGGCACATCAACTTCGAGGGTTACAGCTAGAAAAAATCCAGAGCTACCACTGAGGAAGAAAGCAAATGATTCTGAAGCTGAAGAATCCCTAGAGGAAAGCATGCATCTATACAGGAAAAAGTAGGAAGGAACAAGGGGGGGAAGTTTGGAGTGGGGAAAAGCAGATGTTTTAGAACAACCTGTTACTGCTTTGAACTGCTTTTTATTCTGTTAGTTGGGTGATATGCTAAGAATATGATTCAGATCCACTTTGGGTTACTTCTAGCTGGTCTACTGTAAAATCAGCAGATTTTAAAAAATTTCTTTTTAAAACTTTAAGAACGCTGTGGGCAGTCTGTCTTTCTAAGGAAGGAGGAAAAAAAATCAGCCTTACTGATGATCCCAGTCTTTAAATAACCCGTCTCTGAAGGCCACTGTTAAAACTTTCGCACAGCTCTGTCCAGTTACAAAAGATACCTTAAACAGTTTTCATTAAGATTGATGTAGGCAATGTGTTGTGCATCCAGATTTGTGTTATGGGGTTGTTTCTGTCGAGTGTTCTCATGTCTTGTCCCAGGGCCTTGTTTTGTAGCTCTTTTTTTGACCCTCTGCCAAGAGGTGTTTTGTCCAGCTGCTGACCTGTGCTGGTGCATTTCAGGAGAAGAAAACTAGATTGTCAACACCATGAGTGCCAAGTGCCCATGAGTTTAGGAAGGCTTTGAACTGGGGTTACCAGGGCCATTTATTCTGGTTTGTTTCTTTGTTTTGGCCTGAGTTACGCAGTGACCCTTCAGAACCTCTGACTTGGTCGAGGCTGTGTACTGAAGCCCCATGAAACACAACTTGAACACCTTGCACTCAGTGCAGAGCTGCTTGGTTCGCTTCTTTCCCTCGCATGTGCTCTCATAATTTCATCCAAATACTTCAGAAGCCAGAACTTCACAACACGCCTGTTTTGACTGGGTAGCGTTGCTTTTAATTTTACACTGCAGTTTTAATTTAGCAGTGCGTTGAGGCATTAAAAAACGAGACCAAAACTGATAGAATGAGCACTGAAACACTGAAGCATACATAAAGCGATGGGCGTCCAGACCTGAATCTGTTAGTAGCTGACTTAATGACGATGATTTGGGACTTACACTCTGCATACTGTGGTAATGGGGGGGTGGGCAAGAAGTTTGGAGCCCTGACCCTGCCTCCTTGCTTCTGGCAGTACAAGGAGGAATATTTCTCTCGTAATTATCTGAGGCTGTTTTTGCAAAGCAGTGGTTTAAATATTCAGTCTGAAGTTTGTCTCAATTTGTTATCCTCGTGGCAATATTACAAAATTTCTTAATTTCACAGGTTACTGTCATCTTCAGTATCACTTGTCCTGCAACTGTTTGCCAAACAGTCCCGGTCCCAAGTGTTACTTAGGGTTTGTATGTTTTTCCTCTGAGACCAGCCACTGCTTTTTTATGAGCTTTGTACTCCGAGTCTGCTGGTTCTTGACAACAAAGACTGAGCATGCAGTGAATTTTCTCTTCTCTTCCCCCTGACTTCGGTCTGTCTGTCTCTTTTCTCCCTGCATACCCAGCCACAGGAACCACTGGACATTTGCACTTGAATCCCTTCCTCCATACACATTTCCCCTCCTGCTTCCCTTTTTTTTTCCATTTCCCTTTCTTCCTATATTCCACAGTTCCCCTCTACTTCACACCTCGCCCCTGTACATTGTGTAGAGGTGCTGCTTTCTCACCTGCTTGCACCTTCATAGGGGAAGGCACGAGAAAGAAGTGCCACTTAGAAATACTCGTGTCTTCTCGTGAAACATCAGGAGAAACATACAACGGCAGTGCAGTATATTGAAAGGGCAGAAACTCCTGAGGAGCAGAGTGTGTAATAAGGCCAGGTAAAAAAGGATTTTTGAATTCAAAGGTTGTGCCAGTTGTTTTAGGATGTGGGTGCAGTAACCAAGAGTAAAAAGTTCCGTGCTAAAAAGTGCCTGAACCTGAAGTCAGAGGAAGAAAGAATTAATTAGAGGATGGTTTAAGTTCCAGTGAATGCTGGCTGTCTTACCAGTGCAAACTCTTTGTGAAAGAAGGGGAGGAGAAGCAGCCCCTGCAGTGAGAAGGGTGTGTGATGCCACGATGAGGGGATGTGCCCCAGCAGAGAAGACAGCTCATCAGGATGCTCTTGAGTTTCAGGATCTTCAAGGCCTGGAGCCTTGCAAACATGAGCACATACTCACACAAGCAGTCTCTGTTTCTTGTCCTGCTTTACTTCATCACTTCCTAGTCTTACGTGGATTTGGCTTTTTATTTTGGCTAGGACCTTAAGATATTTATGGATTTCAGGTAATTCACCTTCCAGTGAATTGGCAGCCTTCCCTGGGTGTGACAGGACCTATGGAGGAGCAGTCAAAAAAAAAAATAAATAGGGAGGCATTTGGTGCCTTCCAGACAGGGTTTAAGCAGTTTGTGGTGTCCAAAGAAGCCTTCGTGAAAAATGTCTCCTCGATGTGTGGCAGGATATAATTCCATTTAATTTTCTTGTTTGGTTTCTCTAAATGAGAATAAACTAGCACTCTGGCTGGCATATCTTGCCTTAGCAAAGGCTCTGAAACGTCCGCCTATTTTGCATGGCTTTTAGTTGGTGGATTTTGGGGTTTTGCTTTCCGTATGTGAGGTGTGTTTTTTTTTCTCATTTGATTTGTTTTGGAGAAATTTACTGACCTTGATCCCGTTCACTCTCATGGACCCTGAGGTTCTGAGGATTATTGTCAGTGGAGTAACACTCGAATAGAGAAGTTGGAGCAAGCTTTTGTTAACCTTAAGACTTCTACTGTGAAATTCCTAATGCTATGCTGTGATTATACATGAAAGGTGCATTATTATGTTAGGATTTTTTTTTTGGTGGAATTATTGCTATGGTGTTGGCTTCGTTTTTGAAGTGTCTGATTTTCCGTAGCTTTTTCCTGTTGAGGTGAATTGCAGTAATTTTAGGGAAAGAAAATCTTCCAGATATTTTAGAAACTTGACCCAGCTCTGGAGCAGGCATTGCATATCGAAAAGAATCATCTTTGCTTCTGCTTAGCAGACCTCACCTAGAAACCACTCAACCAGCTGAGTGTTTTACAATTTTTCCTAGCTGAGACTGTGTTGAGTTACAGTTGTGCTTCTTGTAATGGATATATTGCACAGAAAAAACGCCTTCTATCTACAAATGAGCCCAACTTTTTGTCTAATTCTTGTTGGTAACTATCAAAAAAACTGGAGCAAGAGATTCTGTAACTTGGTATGGCAAAGTGAGATTGGACACAAGCGTGTTGTTTGTCATTTAATGAGCGTAGCCTTTAAGAAACCTTAGGAAAGCCATTTGTCTGCCGAGCAGAGCTGCTGGACGGCTGGGTAAATGTAATGGCTCGGGAGGTGGAGGAAAAGAAGACAACATAAATCAATCTGCACTGAACTTTGTGCTGCTTGCAGGGAAGGTTGCTCGTGATACCGATCCGCTTCAGTCAGCCTATACCCAAGGAACATTGCTCAACAGAAGTTGTGGGGTTTTTATCCTTTTTTTTTTGTTCTAATTAGCAGGAAGCAGAGGGTTGGAAAGCAGAGGAGTCTCAGAACTGCTGGATCTCTTTCAAAAGAGTGGATGGCAGAGCATAAAGTGCTAACGCACCCTTTGATGAGAGGACATCAAGCAGTGCAGCCTGCCTTAGTGGTGTGGAGGCACAAGGAGTATAAAGAAACTGTCCTGCACAGTTTCTGGGGTCTAGGGCCTCCCTACATAGATCCAGCTGGCGTTGCTATGAGAACTCGGTCTAGATCTTGAATTCGTTGTCTGTGTAGCTCTTCAGCTGTTCTTCAAGTTATTAGTCAATGTCTAAAAGTTGCTTTGTGGCCTTGCTAAAAGTTTATTGCCGCTCAGCCCCTCATGTTTTCTTCTTTTTCCTATGCTGCAGCACAAGTGGAGGTGCTGTCTGCTGCACTCAGAGCATCCAGTCTGGACCCTCAGGAAGAGACGACGAGCAGCGTGGGCAAGGGAACAGACTCCCAGGCTGAGCTAACCATCAGTGACCAACAGAACTTTAAACCTATCCTGGGTGATATCGTGCCTTTAATCGGTGACGCTGTTGAGGTAAGATGTGTGCTTTGTGCTTCTGTTTTTTTCCCCACTCAGATTTCCAGGGCTCCAGTAATAGAGCTGTATTCTGTATTTGTGCAGGAATTGCAGTCAAAAGCTTCCTCCTTTGGCTGGCGTGATGTTTGGTTTTGTTGGCTGGGATCGAAACGCCAGCTACTAAAATAAAAATGAGTCGTTTGGGGTATTTTTATTTTTGCTGGGTTTGTGTTTATCCAGATAAATTCTTGAAATTGTTTCCATTAACATCTTTGTTGTGACTATCATAATTTAAGATGTTTTAATACTACTGCAGCTTATTACTGTGCAAGTGCCTTGCTTAAAACAGAGTCCTGCTTGACAGTAAGTGAATGTACCCACTGCATTGCCCTCCCTTGCTCCCTCTTTTTTTTTTTGGTGTGCAGAAAGAGGTAGGTTGTTTCCATGCTCCTTGGAGAAGGGTTTTATGGTAGTTTAGAGAAGTTCAGGACCTGAAATGTAGAATGTTGTGTGGATAGTGGAAAGAGAAACTATTCTAGCAACTAGGAAACTTTTGAAGGTTTTTTTGGTTGTTTTTGCACCTCTTTTTTCACCATTCTGCCACTGTCCTTAGCCTGCCTGAAGTCTGTGGTATTTGATACTACTACTCTTAATTTTCTGTTACCTACAGTGTCAAAAACACTACGTCAAAAACAACTGGTCACTGCACGTAGTTCTGCAACTTGTAATTAAATAGAAAGCAATGGTTCCCAAATACAATTTCCATTATCTACAACAAGTGATTTGTTGAACCATGTTGCGTAAATGGCATGTGCAGATGACATTTTGATAAGTGTCCGTGAGAAGTCCAGGAGCTGACGTCAGCCCAGTGCAGGCTTTTTCAGCCCTCTTTAATTAGAGCAGCGTTTCTAGATGATAATTAACGTTTCATCTAAGCTGTTGGACTGTAGAACCCAAAAACATTTGGTGAGTGGAGGAATGTTGTGTGTGTTTGGGTACTGCTCTGTATACACAGTCATAATGTAACACTACAAATGTTTGTCCTTTTTTAAACCAAAAGCACACGCCCCAAATCCTGATATCCTGCTTGATGTGTTTCTTTATCACAGCATCCTTTGTAGTCAATTTTTTAATATTAACCTGGAAAAGGACAGCATGAATGAATCCTGTCCTTCTGATTTTGGGGAATAATGAGGGTAGTAGTCTTTGTTCAGAGGGACCTGTGCTTGCATTTTAGTGCTTTACAGAACAGGGTGCTGACAAAGGGTAAGAACGTGTCACGTTTTTGGTATACATTGTTTTCACATGCTTCAGTTTTGCTCTTTGAAAGGACGCTCGTGATCTGCCAGTTCCTTGTTTGTTTCTGGCCCTGAACCAAGTGCTCATTTTACAAGTGAAGGGATGTCACAGAGGTGACCTAGAATTTGGGCATCAAGCTGTGATCTGTTGGGCGAGTGGCCTGTTGCCTCTGGCAGTGAAGAGAGCTCTGATTTTCGCAGGTGGCTGAGGTCTTTTTGTTGTTGCTTCATTTTGATTTTTATTTTGTTTTAGGTCTCGGTGCAGCGAAGAATCGGTAGGGGAACTGAACTGGGAGCTTTAGAAAAATCAGGCTAGAGTATTCTATATTTGAAAGCAGCCTTCACAGTTCTGCACACAAAGCAAAATCAAACTGCTTGTCCTCCTCCAGCTGTATAGGCTCCTGAGTGAGTTAGAGCTAAATGCTAGAGATTCTCTATTTAAATGAAAAAAAAAGATATAATAAAGAGAGCAGATAAGGCTTTGGAACATAGATGTAGCTTGTTGGTTGAGTGTGAGGTTCCTTCTTTCATTTTTTTTTCTCAAGAACAGCCATTTTGGTTTTCTTTAGGTTGTCTGCTCTCTGCAATAAGGTTTCAGAGGATGAGTGTGGGCATCCCCTCTTTTTGGTTGAAGGCAGAGGGAGCAAGAGGAGGCGAATAAAGGGATAGGAAACTCGAATACAATCAGCCCATCTCTGTCGGGCTCACATACCTCCCTCTAAGAAGAGGGGGGGTGCCACGAGGAGGCTGGGGGCTCCAATCTGGACCCCTGGGACTGGCCCCTGCTCTCTGTGTGTTGGCTTTCTGCCCTGACTGTCGGAGGTGGTTGCTCACCAGGTTGGGATGCAGAAAGTTTAAGACTAAACCCTGCTACATTCTGATGTCCTGGCTCTGCACTCTTCAATTCAGTGTGTGCAGGTAACACGGAGGAAATAGAGGCTAAATTGCACCTGCAGGAACAGAGGTACTGCTTAGAGGTGATGCTGAAAATCAGTGCTTGGATGAAAGCAGGTCATGGACGAGGAAAAAGCGAGTGTCTGAAGTCAAACCAAGGAAGGCAGGTGGTATCCTGGGTGCTGTTTTGAAGGTGCTTATAGTTTTTTGAAGGTGCTTATAGTCTTGTTATCAAACAGATCTGAACAGCTCGCAGAGCTGGCATGCTTTTGGAGCTTATACTGACCCGAGAGCTCACCCTGCGGTGTTTATAGATAATCTGGATCATACCAGGCACAAAGGTCTTTGCCCTGTTCTACCAGACAGCAGCCTGATCTGCGTTTCAAATATTCTTCTCATACTTCTTGAAATTCACAAGCTGATGATGCAAAGCTCACTGCATTTGGAGGACTCCACTGATACAGAAAGTGACACAGCTGATCATAGCGCATCAAACCTTTGCATCATGTTCCAGTTCTGAAACAGACTTGGAGCCTTCGTCCTTATCTTCGAGGCACAGATATGCACCCAGGATGCTTGAGTGATTGCCCAAAAAACCCAATTTGCTTAAAAAAAACAACTGCTGAGAGGTTTGAAGACTGGTGCCAACAGCCATTGTCCACTCGGGCACTGCTTTTTAAGGTGAAGCTCATCTGTGGAGATGATTATAGAGTAATCACCTCCAGGAAAGGAGCAACAGCATCATCAGTTTCCACTCCTGTGTGTAAGAGTGGCTTTATTTTGACCTTTTCCTAGCACAAATGCAAAGCACCAAATCCAACAAAATCCACTACAGATGTTTTCTCGTTTTCCCTTCGGGGAAGAAGCGATGTGACCCACATATTATTTACATTTTCCTTAATGCAGTTTCAAAGGTAGTCCTCTCCTGTGATTTTCCTTCCTTCAGAACCAAAATGGAGCAGATTAGGAGGAGTCCTTGTTTGAAATTTAAAGCAGAAAGATTTATCTAATAAGACTTTGATTTCAGGCTGCATCAAAATTGGATTTGATAGTAAAACATGCATTTCTTTAATCTAAGACAAAGGCCCTGAGCTGAGGGTAGCAGTGCCTGATGTTGACGGTTTTGTTTTAATCCTTAAATGTATTTTTATGTTTTTGTCTATTTTTAATAGAACATGGATTCCACACTTCACTATATCCATAATGACTCGGATTTGAGCACCAATAGTAGTTTCAGTCCTGATGAAGAAAGAAAATCCAAAGTGCAGGTAAATGACTGTGATTTCTGTTTTTCCTGCGTATGTCAGAGTAGTAGGATTTTTAAATAAATGCGGAGACTTCTTTTATGCTGTCAGTCTGATGCAGTCAGTCTCATTAAGTCATTTTGTATGTAATTTCTCTAAAATATGGCAAACCTCTTAAGTAAGTAATTTAAAAATACTCAGTGTTTCCAGAGATAATGGCTTAATTTGGCAGTTGCTTCTGTTTTAATTATGTATAAGAGATGACAGGGTTTTTTTTTGTTTTTTTTTTTTTTGATGCAAGAACAACTATCGTAGACTTCCAGGTTCCGGTTTCGTTGGGTTTCATTTTCTGTGGGAGCCGTTCTGTAACGGAAATTAGGTTATTGAGGAAACGAGGTTTTTTGTTAAATGTTTTGAGTGGAAGCACCCTCATCCCGTGACAGCTTTTTGAAGAGAAGGTGTGAAAGCATTTCATTAAACTCAAGCTGGCTCTGTCATTTTTTTTTCTGAGGGAATTTTTGTTGTTCTGGAGTTCAGTATAACGTGCGACACCCCGCACACCGCGACTCTTTGAGTGGGAGCCTCAGTCACTCCGGCTGCTGCTGGGAGCTGAGCTATTCAGCAGCTGTGTGCTGGGGAAATGCTCCTGGGCAGAGTCAGTGCCTGAGATGAAGTGACAACAGCTGAAGCAAAGATGGTGGTGAAAAACAACACAGAGGCTTTCAAAAAAGTTCGTTTCAGATGCTTTAATTTCCTCGGTGGAGAGAAAGATGGGTCTTCATCAGGGTTCTCTGCCTCTGGAGAAACCTTTTCCTTCATGGTGACTATAATCTGTCTCCCAATTCCTCCCAACCATAGGTATTTTAATTCACATTTCTCCTCTTCCCCCAAAAGACAAGCTTTTGAGAGGAACAGCAAAACAATTTTTGAAACGTTTGCTCTTCTGCTCATTTTATGGATGAGTTAAAATAGGCAATTTGTACAGCCTGTGAGACTGAATGTTTGTGGAAAGGTAAAAATGTAGTCTCTTCAACCTCCTGCTTTGCCGAAGTAGACAGTGATCCACCCACCGCTCATCTGTTATGTCGGTCTGTATATTTTCTGATAGCCTCCAGACATGTCATCATTTCTTGGGAACTTTTTTGGTGGAACGTTGTACGAAATATAAAACTTCTGCGTTCTTATTAAGAGCCTGCAGTTAAATAATTCTCTACAGTTGTGGAAAAAATGTTCTTCTGATGGCGTTCCTGGAATCTTAATCAACTTTGGAGGTTGTGTTGAAAATGATACCAACTCTCTACCCTTCTCTTGCTGTAGGATGTTGTACCTCAGGCCTTGCTGGATCAGTATTTATCAATGACCGATCCATCTCGCGCACAAACCGTTGATACTGAGATCGCCAAACACTGTGCCTACAGCCTGCCAGGCGTGGCGCTGACATTGGGCAGGCAGAACTGGCACTGCTTGAAAGATACCTATGAGACTCTGGCGTCTGACATGCAGGTAAGCTCAAGAAAATCTGGGGAAAAAAAAAAAAGCATAATGTGAAGGTTTAGGATCACTTCTCTTGTTTAGTGGGCGTTGGTTGCTTTGCTTTTTATGTGGAGCTCCCTGTTGCTAATGTTAGGTGTTCATATAATGAGCTAAAGTACAACTGGGGGTGTGTGGTGTTCGGGCAACGAGGAAATGGGGCAGTTGGAGTGCATTTGTGGAGCTGGATCTCTGTTGGCAATGTGAGGAAAGGTCTTTGATCTCTTCTGCTTGCTTGAGATCTCACCACGGCAGTGCTTGTGATTCTCCTCGGTCTGAGAATCCGGGCTGTGGGGCTGTGTGTGAGCAGCCATGTGCCCGTGCAGGCATGTCTGGAGCTTGGTGAGTCAGCCTCACGCCAGGATCTGGTGGCCTTTTGATGCTGCATCCAGTTAGTCATAAGGGGATAGCATCACTATCACAATGCAGCGTCGCTGGTTTAAAAACAAAGGCTGGAAATAGCAGCATTTTCCTTGTCAGGTGGTGAGGAGGTGGCTTTGTGCATTTTACTGTTTCGCAGTTGTTTCCCAGTCCTCTGTTCCTTCCTTTTTTGGAGATTGTCTCTTTCTTTGAGGCATTCTCAGACTACTTCACCTCTTTTGAACTTGCTGCTTGCGATGTCAGAGCAGCAATTCTCAGTGATATGTAGTGAGTAATTTTATACGTGGCTATTGCTCATATTTTCCTAACTGTTCCGCAGCCTTTAAAAGCAACCAGCTAATAAATTTAAAACATACATAAAAATAAATTACCCTGCTTTCAAAACTGTTCAGTTTCATCGCCACTCTCATCTGGGTTAAGACTGAATCACCAAATCCAGGTAAAGGGATAGTACCCATAATAATTGGAAGGTGCTAAAGAAGAGATGTTACTTAATGGCACAACTAGATGCTTTTAAAAATTATAACATGGAGCTTTCACTCAACAAATGGAGTGAAAATGCACTTACCAGTCCTTGGACTACTGGGCGCTCTCTGTGGGTGAATCTTTACCTATTAGGGAAGCTAAAAGGTGCCAGCTGAAGTAGTGTGGGATATATTTTTTGTTCTGTTTTATAAGTTAAACAAGTAAAAGAATGGTAGCGTGGGACTGATTTAAGCGAAAAGATTTGAGGCGAAGAATTCTGAGATATTCAGGTGCAGGAAATGAGACTATCGTTTGTCTTGGATTTGTAAATACTCTCTCTTAAGTCCAGCAAAGATGCTGACTGTCAGTTTGAAATTGGAACATATCAGATGATCCAGAGATGAAAATTATTTATCAATTTATTCATTTCTTTATTTCAGTGGAAAGTTCGGCGGACACTAGCATTTTCCATCCATGAACTTGCCGTCATCCTTGGAGACCAGCTTACAGCTGGAGATTTAGTTCCTGTGTTCAATGGCTTTTTAAAAGACCTAGATGAAGTTAGGATAGGTGTGCTTAAACACTTGCATGACTTTCTGAAGGTACGTCTGTGTTCATCTTTGGTCCAATGAAATAATTTTTGTGTGTGCCTGCTGTTTAACATAACACCAGTGTAACTCTTGATGGGAACCCAGTCAGGTATCTGTTGAATGCTGGGGTGTATTTAGCATCCGCATCGCAAATCTTCTGCATTCTGTTCTGTTTATTCAATGCACAGGTGCTAGGGGACTCAGTTAAATTTCTTTTTGCTACCTCTAAGCTCTCTGCAGCAACTTAATTCTCAAACTTTTCTGTAACTGCCTCATTTTTGGAACTGAAATACACGAATCATAAAAACCTTTAAAAATCACTACTTTACCACTTACCCTGGGTTCCTAGAGTACAAGTAGAGACGAGATCAGATTTTGCTTTCATAATGCCCCATGCGATTTTACTGACTAAAGCATGATAGAGCTCAGCCCAGAAAAGCAACACTATTGCTAAAGATTAATTATTTTGGATCAAAACAAGTGTTTCATTAATTGTATTTTAAAGCTCTTGTGCCTGGTTGTTCATAAGCTGCATTTCTCCACATAAACTTATGTTTACTGTTACAGCTCCTTCATCTCGACAAAAGACGAGAGTATCTTTATCAGCTCCAGGAATTCCTAGTGACTGATAACAGCAGGAACTGGCGTTTCCGTGCAGAGCTGGCTGAGTACGTGGTTTTCTGGCTGCTTGTTTTTATTCTTGTGGGTGTTTACAAATTTTACAACGATGAAACTAATGGAAAAATGACGCTTTAAGACATTTGTTTTTACTTCGTGTAAGCTGATTTTGGCTTTTTCGTGGAACTGGTAGGTGGAATGGCATCTCTGGTGGGAGGCATCTCTGAAGGGTGAGGTTGCTTGGGAAAGCTGACAGATTTTTAAGAACAGCGTCCTGCAAATGAAAGGATGGTCCATCTGGGTGCTCAGAAACAGAGAGATTTATCAGGAGCCCAGCTTGGCTAAGAAGGGAACGCATAACTCAGCTTGAAACCAAATAGAGATTATCCAGGAGGTGAAGGCAGCAACAGGGTGCAAAGGAGGCATTTAGAAACGTTGCCCAGGCATGTGGCATTATATTAGGAAAGCCACAGCTCAGCTAGAGCTGAGGCTTGCAAGGGCTGTCAGGGGCAACGAGAGTTTCTACAGCTATGTCAGCAATGAAAGAGTAAAGGAAAGGAAAATAGAGCTGTGGCTGAAGAATGTGGGTGGTTTAGTGATGGGAGATGCAGAGAAGGCTGAGGTACTGTGTTCTGCACCTCAGTCTTTACTCATAAGGTTTTCCAAGCCTCTGTGCTTAGATTAGAGTAGGAATTCAGTGGTGGTTGATGATCCATCCATGTCTACAGGGGCTGCAACTGAGTGTGCTGACGGAGCTGGCCCATGTCACAGCAGGGCTGTTTGCCATCATCGTGGAAAGATGGTAGAGTTTAGGGCAGCTCACCAGGAACTCCTTGAGGTTCTGTCCAGCCTGAAGTTTCTTAGGATCCCACAGTTTGCTTGATGAAACAAGGAGTGTGTTTACAGCGTTTACTACAGTAGCAGTTCTTGAGTAGGAATGATGAAATGAGCACACTGTAATGACTCATCACAGGGTCTTTTGAATTCAATCTTGAACATATAAATGACTCTTTTTGCAGTTAAGATAAGTTTTCATTATTCTAATATTCCCTGCCTGGTGGTTCTTCCGTCCTGCAGGCAGCTGATCTTGCTTCTAGACCTGTACAGTGCCAGAGACATCTATGACTACTTGCGACCTATCGCGTTCAGCCTCTGTGCAGATAAAGTGTCTTCTGTCCGCTGGATTTCGTACAAGCTGGTAAAGTAACCTGAGGAAATTCAGGATTTCAGACTTCTGAGAGCTGGTGGTCAGAAATAAACTTTTTTTTTCCTTCCTTCCCATTTCTTCTAGGTTAGTGAAATGGTAAAAAAGCTGTACATGGCTTCAACATCAACCTTTGTGGTAGACCTCATGAACGAACTTGTTGAAAAGTTCTGTAGATGCCGCAAATGGTCTGGTCGGCAGACTTTTGTCTTCATCTGCCAGGTGAAACGTCTTTGCTTTTTTTTATTGGAGGAGGGATTATTTTTAATGCATTAATAATAATACAATTATTATTTTGATGGGAAGAATTATGGGGAGATGAGCACCTGGAACTCTTTAAGCTGTCTGTTGACAATTTTTTCATGAATGTTTGAGAACTTGTTGCCAAGGAAATGGATTTGATGGCTGCATCCTCAAGCATTGCCCCATAGATGAGCAAGCGTGCATCTTCAGCTTAGCTATCGGCCTCGGGTTGTCAGATCTGATATTGGATGTAAAACCAAGTCATTAAAATAATCCCTGAGTTGGGAAGCTGCTTTGTTACTCAGCATGAAGCGAGATTTTATAATATGCTTCAGCAGCTGGACACCCTTTTGCATTATCATTCAGAAATCAAGTTCTCGGAGCTGCTTGTACCTCTGTAGCCAGCTAGTGTAGGTTGGTCAAAACCAAAGTATTCTCTGCAAAATAAGCAGAAAGAAATGGTGAAATGTAGAGGCTGTAGCAAAAGTGCTGTCCGTGAGCCATCATGACAGTTGCTTAAATAGGGCAGCGCTTTGAAGTGTTTGGAGAAATGTGAGCGTTGAGCTTATTTAGAGAAGCATGTTGGGTTACAGTGGATGTTTATTGAGACAAACTGTTCTTGCCTTAATATGACACCTAGTTACAACGAAGACAAAATTTGTGTTAAAAGATAAGGCAGGAAGCCTTTGACTTTTTTTCTCCTGCTTTCAAATGTTAGTGATTGAAAATGAGTTACTAGACTTCATACAAAATAAAATGAGCCTCTAACTAAGCCTGAATTTCCTCAGCCCTAATGTGCTGCATCATTTATGACTTGGTGCTATTAAGTACTGTACCACATTTTAAAACCTAGTGAATACTCCATACTGTATTCATGCTAGGAAAGTAATAAGATCTGTCAGTTCTGGTTATGTGTTGGGATTTTATCTTCACGGTGCTGAAATCTAATGAAATTGCCTCTGTCTCCTTGCCAGACTATCAGTGAAGATGACTGCCTGCCCATGGACCAGTTTGCTGTGCATCTGTTGCCACACTTGCTACACTTGGCATCTGACAGGGTTCCAAATGTTCGAGTCCTGCTTGCAAAAACATTAAAGCAAACGCTTTTAGAGAAAGGTTAGTGGTCAGAAACAGTTGCAGTGGGCTGACTCTTATCTTTTTGTCGCTTCCCTTCCCTATGCTCAGCTGGGAAAGAAGCAGCAGCGTGAGATGTGGGTCAGATGAGCTTTTACAGCCTGTTCGGTGTGGGGTGCTGCCTTGCCTGAGATAAAACCATAAACCTTGTTGTGTTATCAGAGCCACTGTTCCATAAATCTGGAAAGTAAAGAGTTCATGCTCATATGCCAGCCTTTTTTTTTTTCTTCTTGCACTATTTTCCCTGAATGAGCTAAGTTATAGGGGGCGATCAGGGTACAGCGAGTATGTGTGAACTGTGAAGCGTATAATAAGGATAAAGAAGAAAAATCCTTCCATAGAAACCTGGCATCTGTTCTTTCACTGGGGTAGAAGAGATGGCTGCTGTTTGCTTTAAATTTTATGGTAGCAGTGAGAAGAAAGTTTCCCTGGAGTGCCTTCATTTGCAGGCTTTGCTTAGGAGAGGCTCCTCAATGCATAGCAGATGCCAGAGGAGTCAGCAGTGCTCAGATTCCAAAGCACTGCAATGGAAAATAGCATTAGAAATATTGTGCCATTTTGTAGAGCAGCTATATTTACACTTGAAATGCTTTGTTTCTGGTCACTTTCTTCCTCGAAACATACACCAGCTCGAGAACTGCCATTGCTAGCACGGAAAACTTTAGGAAATATGGCAATGGTATGAATTAAAATGCAAAATGTTTAAAATACTGGACAATGCAAAGGATGCATACTCCGAACTGGGCTGTTGCTAGCTGTCATGTGTGTGCTGGAGGCTCTGAGTAATCATATGTAGACAGCTACTGTGGATCAGCTAATGTGCAGTGATTTGTTATCCTCTGTTAACCATGCCAAGGCTGTCACCATTCTTGCTGTTATCGTGTAGTTTTGGTGGTTGTCCTCATTATTTTTGTGTTCCCCTCCTGGATCCTACAACTCCGTTCTGTATCTGTCTCTTCCTCCTATAAGTCTTGTGCGTTTTCTCTTCTAGAGTATTTTCTAAACTCTGCCAACTCGCATCAAGAGGCCGTGGAGCAAACAATTATGGCGCTTCAGATGGACGACGACAGTGATGTCAAGTATTTCGCAAGCATACACCCTGCCAGTACCAAAATCGCAGATGATGCTATGAGCACTGCTTCATCAACGTATTAAAAACTTCCTGAATGTTGCTATAATTAAAAAAAAAAAAAATTGAAACAAACTATCCTCATGCTTCTAAAATGGTTGATATAGGACAACCTCTTTGGAAGGAGAGTTTTCTTGCCAGACTTAACAGGTGGATGTTATCTAAACCTGATACCAGGGATTTTAAGTCAAGAAAAAGTAAACATAATTATGTCAGCTTGACTGTAGAAAAACACTGCTCAGAGGATTATTTTTGCCACCGAAGCCTTAAATCTTCTGTCTTCCTGAACAAATGAAACTTGAATTGGCAGATCATTTTCATTGTAGAAAGGATGGGATTTCCAGACACCTGCATTGTTTCTCCTGAGGAGTTAACTTAGCAAGTATTTTCTATAGCAACTGATAGCTGAAATGGCTGGAAAGGCAAATTTATGCCAGGATGTAAGACCTCCAGTATTAGCGCTCAGAGTTTTTATCGTTCAAGGACTTGATCTGTGTGCAGCTGGGCACACCCTTAAGTGGGAATAGCTTTGATGTGTGTAAATGGGGAAAGTAGAAATTTGGATTTCTCTTAAGGGCTCAGTGCTAACACTAAACTAGAATTTGATTTTAATCCTTAAATGCAGCATATTGCTGTACCCATTAGCAGAAAACTTTGCTGAGTACCTGTGTCCTAATTATTTTCATGCTGGTCATGACCTAAAGGAAATTTATTAGCACATATACTTTAAGTCAGGTATTTTTAACTTGATCATGATCAGCTCTGAGGTGCAACGTTTTTCTTCATTTACTGTACATATCTGTGAGCCTCCTTGGAGTGCTGCAGTCTTTAATCATGTTGTTTAAAGCTGTTGTGATACAAGTTGTTCTCTACTTGTCCAAATAAAATTTATTAATAAGATTGAAAGCAATCTTGTGACCTTTTTAAGACATTAAAAGAATAAGTTTGAAATTCGTGTCTTTTTTTTTTTCTCTTCTGGTTCTCTATGCTTTGATGACTGTGGTGGGGAAAAGGGATTGCGTTAGGATTGTGAAGGGATCTGTATTCAGAGATGGCCTGGATGCACTTCGGTGCGTCACTGAGGTTTTGCTAGGTTCTCTTTCCAGAGTCCTTGTTTCTCTTGGGAACCTGCCCCTCCAGTGTGCAATGGCAGCTCTGGGTTGCTGAAGCGAATCCAAACATCCACCTCAGCCCTGACTGATGGGAAGCCGTAAGCCCCAGCTGCCCTTAACCTGTGTTCAGTCCTGTGGCTGCTTTTCTTTCCCCTCGTTTAAAATGACTGATGCAGTGCCTGCTTGTGTCTTCCAGGGGCAACGTGCCTGTGTCGCCTTCCCTCCAGCCTGTGGAACCTGAAGTGCGAGAAGCTTTGTTTTCCTGAGGAGGTAGAAATGGCTCCGGCAGCTGGCCTGTGATGTGTGTTAGCAGAACGCTTCCATTTATTAGTTGGGTGACTGATAACCCTGTGTTAAAAATGCAACCCTGCCTCCTGTTCGAAAGCTTCTATAGCACAGGTAACTATTCTGGTCAGATGTGCTTCTCCTCAGGTCCTCCTGTACTTGGTCAGAAATGGTGCAGATCACTGGACCGTGCGTTGCGCCGAGTGGCAGCGGGTTGTCAGAAAGCTGTGACCTTCAGGCAGGAGGAGTCCCGAGCTCTCCCTGCTGCCATACAGAGAGCAACTGGGAATAAGAAACTACTCCTCTCCCAGGCCACACGATTCCCATTACAGAAATATGCACTGAAGTCCCATCAACTTCCCCGTTTTGTTCGGGGGACATAAATCCCTCCCTGTTTTTCCTCAGTGTAAAGGCAATTGAGTTGGTGCTGGGTCGTGGGTATATTTTGAGGTGAATGGGATCAGCTGGTCAGAGCAGAGCATCCTTCACGTAATCCTGTACTTGTGAGCAGAGCCTAGCATTCATGGGAGGAGTTTTTTGGTGCTTCAGGTGAAACCCTAGTGTTTGGAGTTAGGAAGTTTGGAAGTGAAGGGGAAGGGAGGACTTGCCTTATTCTCCGAGCTGCCCCAGAGCATTCAATCTGCAGCTGGGGGGCTGGGGTCTCTTCACTTAACTCCAACAGGGAGTTTTTTCAGGCGAGCAATGCTAGAAATGTCAGATGTCCCTGAGGGTGTGGCTTGGGGAAATGGAGATCTCACTTGGGAGCGGTGAAAAAGGAGCTGCCTTTTTTTCTGTGTGGGGCAGCGTCTGGGAAGGCTGCCAAAGATGCTGTGACACTCCCTCTTGTGCGTGCTTCTTCTCGTGAAAGCCTGGAGCTGCGTGTCTGTGCATTCGTTCCTTTGCTGCTTGGTGTGTCTGAGCAGACACTGGGGGAGCTCCCACGTTGTCATCTGCTGGTCCAGGGTTGCCCAAAGCAGTGTCGCAGTTCTGCCCATGCCAAGTCAGTCTTTAACTGGAAAACAATGAGAATTGTTCGTCAAAGTCTTGGCTCACTTGTCTTGGAGTATTTTTGCTGGGAAATATATTTTTTTTTTCCCCTATGTCCCGGTTGCAGCAGTGTCTGCGTTTCTCCTACGCGCTGTGTTTCACAGCGGGGACCCTGTCCTCTGTTGTGCCCTCCCCAGAGACCCGTAAGGATTTGGAGGGCCTTTCGTCACCGCGCTTTCTTGCAGACTTCACGCCAATAAAACCGGTAAATGCGTGGAACCATCTAGAGGGAAGTTTGCTTTTAACCTAGTCACGACTGATGCCTGCAAGTAATTTCTTTTTTTCCTATTTTGAATGTCCCCAGTGGCTTTTGCACAAATTCCTGGCCCCCTGGGTATGATCCTGCTTTCATGAGGACTGCAGAGCAGCCGGTTTGATTTCAGCCCCGCTGAAATAAATGTTTGTGTGGGTTCAGCAGCCTCGGTGAGAGACCAGGGAACCCCCCTGGGCAGGCGTAGGTCTGGTTTAATCTGATCGAGCTCCCTTGGTTGTTTGTTACCTGTGTGTTGTTGCTGGCCCCTTCTGTCTGCAGTCCTCAAGAGGTTGGGCGCAGGGGTGGCTGATCCCAAAGGGGCAGGGCTGGTGGGAAGAGGGAAGTCCAGGCTGTGGCTCGGGATGGATGTTTTGGTCAGGGCTCTTCCTGCCAGCAAGGCTTCCTTTTGTTCTCTTGGCCTTTGCTAGGGAAAACTTGGTTTAATGCTCATGTTCTCCAGACTAATTTCAGCCCGGGAACCTTGCTCTTGTTAGGATGAGGAGTCTGAGACTGGAAGGTGGCTAAAAACTGAGGCTGTTCTCCACATGTTTTCTCACATGGGTTCTCTCTGACACTGATGGCAAAGGCTTTTCTTCCTGCCTATGCTGGCATTCAGGCAACACACAAAATGCATTTAAAGTGATTAACCTCTTGTTTGGATGCAGAGTTGGGCTAGCCTACCCATAGACCACCGTAAATATGTAAGACTATGACAGGACAGCTCATTTAGCATGTGTGATGTCAACTCCTCCCTTCCCTTTCCTCTCCTGGTTCTGATTAAACTCCGTTGAGAAGTAGCAAAGATAAGTGAACAGATTTGGAAACATCTTACAGCTCTGCCATCGTAACCAGCCTGCTTTGAGTGCTGTGACCTCTTTCTGCTGAGATGGAGCCATGTGGCTGCACATGAGGGACTTCAAAAGGCTGCGAGTCCTTCTGAATCCCAGTTGTTAAAAGTGGAGGTACCGAGTGTGTTTTTAAATGTTTTACCAAGAGCAGAAGAGATGCAGTGTTTGAACGTCAAGAGAAACTCCAGTTGTCTTCCATCATTCCAGGTTTCTCTCCTCTCCCAAGTCCAGCAGTGCTGTGGGAGGTGCTCTTCAGAGCACAGCAGCCTGGGTCTCTTGGTAAGAAGGCACCTTGGAGGGGTAAGGCAGCCTCAAAAACAGCACCTGAGCACCCTCAGCTCCTCACCTGCTGTTCATTAGACAAGTACTTGGAGATAATTTGAAAGAAAATTTTCAAGAAACTGTTTCAGCAGTTTGGAAACTAAACTGCTCACAGCTGCTGTGGGCCAGCAGAAGCAGCAATTCCACCTGAGTCAGATCTGACTGGTGAAGGCAGCAGGAACAAGCACAGCTGGTCCTGTGCTGGAAGTAATGACATGAGTAAAATAGAATGCATCTCTAATAATCTTTAATTTGATCAAATTGAACTTGATTTTCAGCTTAATTGTGTGAATTGTCTATGAAAATTAATTGTGGACAACATTCTTTTAGAGGAGCACCAAATTCATTTTCGTATCAGGTGCAGGGAGCTATCCAGGAAGGGTGACTTGTTTGCTTTAGAAAAATGTATTACACTTTATGAAGCAGATAAACTAGAAACTTCTTTCAAATGGCTGTTGAATTTATTTGCTTGATAAATACAATCCTAACAAAATAAAAGTTAACCAATATTAAGAGATTTTTCTGAAGAACATTAGAAAAATCCATGACAATTCAATAGGAATTAGTGTGAAATAAACAAACAAACAAAAAGTTTAAATATTGCCAGCAAATATAAAATGTATGTAACGAAGGCAAGGGAGAATGCTTTAGTTTACATTTGTCATCTGACCACATTTTTCTGTGTTTATAAACTTTTTTCCCCAAATTTTAAAAAAATACTATGCCGTTTTCTCTAACATATCAAAGCATTATTTGTACAAAATCAAATCATGGCCAATGATTCACAACAGTGCAATAGATACAGAATATAACCACATCCAACAGGTGCCAAAAATAAATACCCAGATTTAAAAAATACGACAGGCTCTCTGCACGCTGTGGAGCTTGCTGTCTATCCTCGCCGTGACGGACGCGTCTCATGAGCATCTGCAACACTGAATGGCCCTGAAGCGCCGCCTGGCCGGAGGCTTTAGGGGGGTGGAGGCAGTGAAACAGCCAAACCAAAAGCAAGTCCCAGGGGGGTGGGGGTTAAACAACAAAAAGAGGCTCTCACTGAACCCTCGCTGCCTCCAGCAAGCACAAGAGATTTGTGTTAGTGCAGCTGGAAGTAGGTATTGCTTGGTTGGGCAGGTTTCCCCGTTACTGCCTAAAGCATCCGTCAGTGGCTCACTCCGAGGGACCGGGACACAAAATGGGTTAAAAGAAAGCTGTTGGCTAAAGGGCAGCAGCAGGAACACGGCCTATCCTACACAGGTACGATGAGGGCTGGTTTATAAATGAGCAAATGGGGTAACTACGCTGCTAAAAGAGGTAAGCGGCTCTCGCTGAACGGTTCATCATACAGAGACATAAATAACACCTGTAAAGTTTTACATTTATTCAGTACATCTTAAAACAAAAGAGAAATTTAAGGGCATGTTAGGTAAACATGATACCCCCCAGTCTCCCAACTTTTCAGCCAACCCAGAATAAATTTAAAGCTCCCGTGTATATAATCTGCATCAGAAAGGTATCAAAGGCACAAGCAAGAAGTGACTAGGTTAATAAGCAGAAATGATGGTGAATGAGAATGAGCAGATTCACAAGGCAAATAATAAGTGTGGGTGGGTTTTTGTTCATTTACTGAAAATGAGATCTTCAGTTCTGCTCTGATGAATGTAAATAATGGTTTTGGTTTAAAATAAAACTGTTACTGAATTATTTTAAATCACCTGAAGGAAACCAGTCTTGAAATAATCTGATACTAACTGGAAAACTCTTCTGGCCTTTCTCAACTCACCTGAGTCTGATGAGTAGAAGCCACAAGTGCTGGAGACAAAAGTCTCCAGGGCTTAAAAGAAGTTTCTTTACATAATGTACACAGCCAGCAATAATTGTGCAGTTTGACTCAAGTTACAGTAATTTGCACAGTTCAGTTGATCTTAAGAACCTCCAAGGAGCCCGATCAAATGGGAGTTTCTTTCCTGTCTTTACTGGGTGATGGCTTGACTTGCTGCTCCTTGCTTGCTTTTGGCTGCTCTTTGGCTGCTTTTGTCTCCAGGACACTGTCTCTGGGCTGCTGAGAAACACCCCCACGTTTTTCCG